TCACCGCTCAGCCATAGTAGCCTTCCTCACCCTTCCACAAGGCTTGTATATATACCCATATAGCGTCAACATCGACATGTCGTCGAAGCATCGCAACCCATCGTTCTACATTGTGCTGACTTCGGCCGAGGACCAGCAGAGAGTGTAAGACCTGTCGGGAATGCCCGAGTTTCGTTGCCTGATCCGGAGGAAGCTGATGGTTATTCAGCTGCCTCGGACAGCTTTGCGATACTGCTAAGCGAGCCCTAGAATCATTCTTACGGAGGTGTGCCGACCGGCAAGGCAATTTGAAATTGCCAGTTGTGCCAGCCGCCGTATCGTGTTCAATCCAGCCCTTACGTTTCCAAAAAGAGTATGTCGCTTAACGCTTTGGGACTCTTACATAATGCATATACAATAATGGTAGTATTTTCCCATCTATGATCCAACCTTGCCCGGCGCTCTAGGATTGCTGGATATGAACACGATACGTGCGGATGGTTTAGGAGCCTGGTGCGTCGCACACACAAGTTCCGACACACGAGAGCACAACGGGCTACACGTAACGGGCCAAAGTAGCTTGTTGGGGGGGAAGCTCAGCTAAGGTACATGTACAACCGTGTAGATACGACGTATATATGTCGATCGTACCATAGGGATGCTGCCGAGCTGATGAGAATCAATGTAATCAGCGAGGCCAGTACGAAAAACGTATCGAGACGAGCGATAGGGACTCGGGAGGCGCGATCCTTTACAGCTAAATTGAGAGTATTCCGTACACTGGACTCCCGTTATTACATGTCGTATTGTTGTAGCGCATTGCCATATGTTGTTAACGTTGTACTCACATTATGACAATGACGTCTTGCAAGTATCTGTTTGCCTCTTGAGGCTTATGGAGAGCATAGAGGAAGCGAGGTACGTCGACGCTGCAGCCTTTTTACTTGCTCGTCGGCGAAGGCAAGCTGTTGGGATAACTAGTCAATATATCCAGTATCTAGCGATCGCAGACGTTCCGGAGCCCTTCCCGGCACCATGCAGTGCGATGCTGACATGAGTGCATTGACGACTGTCCTATGCTACAAAGAAAGAAAAGGGACAGCAAAGGAATACAAATCATGTACATACAACATATAACCAGAACCATGCCGTTCCGATACAGTGGTCACAATATGCGGGTGATAACTCCAAGACCCTACATGCCCACGGGAATAAGTACAGCGACTCGCCTGTTGAAGCGCGACGACGTACCTTGGTCTTCCCTTCGCGGAAAAGGAGCTTCATTCCCTCCTTGACAAACTCGGGATGAGAGATGAACTGGAAGGTTACCGTCGCCCTGTCGCCAGTGCGCAGTAGGCCTCCGGGATGGTTAATGGACACAATGCGGACTGTCTGCCGAACAGCCTGCATCATGATACGGACTGGTTAACCGATGTGGGCAGAGATAAGCGGATGAGCATGCATACCCCGCAGTGAAGCATGGCCTGATAGTTCTTCTGCATCGTCGTGTTGTGGCTATCATACGCATCAGCTGAAGTCACGGGAACGAATTCAGATGCCACACTTACTACAGAATTAGGACCTGACCCTCGAACTCGCGCACCGCTGTAACAGAGGGTATGAGCATCTGGGAATCAAGCCAGGCTCGTTTATGCGCACCTTTGGGAGGCGTCTCGCCCTTGTGGACGAGGACCATCCCCTTCCTCACCGCCGCCTTGCGTACACGCTTCAGGGCGCAGGAAACGCTTTGGCCTGCCTCGGCGCTCGTCACAGTTGCCCTGTGGACCTCTTAGGTTTGTACGCGTCGCAAACAAGGGATGAATTCGATCACTAACCGTTTGCGCTGCATGCTCTTGATGGCCGTGGACTGCCAATTTCCATTCGCATCGGGCCCGTACCAGACGTTGTCGCCAGTCTTGATCACCCCACTGTTGATGATCCCGTTCACGACAGTGCCGACGTAGGGGACGGACCAAACCTCGGTGATGGAGTACTGCATATAGCTAGGTCAGTGAACGGTGATATAAGATATGGCCAATCTGACTGACTTCAAGCGGCTGCTCAGCGACAAATTTCTCATCATCGCCCTCGCTGGAGGGCAGGAGGTTCAAGAAGGTGCGGACCTGGGCCGCCAACATGAGCAAGAGGATGCGTCAAACCTCAGCGATGATGAGGGTTTACATAGTCAAGTCCCGCTCCAGTCACGTTCGATACCTGGAATATCGGACATAACCTATATGAAGCGTGAGAAGGCAGCCCTTCCGCCCACACGCGCGAATGAACATACCTCTCCTTCGCGAAAGTCTGCGATACTTCAACAGCCGTCTCCATGTTCTTGACGAACACAGGGGTTTTCCTGGTCGAGATCGCGCTATTGAGAACAACGGAGAATGTGTAATAGAAACGGGCCACTAACCGACACCCAGGACTCTTCAGAATCTTGACGACTCGCTCGACAGTTTCGGCCAGAATTTTCGGCGGGGTCATATCAATCTATGTTGAGGTCATTTGCATTGAAGCCAACATCGGACCGTCATCGTCAGCGTACCTTAGTGATGCATACGACGACTGGCACGTTCAGCGCGAGCGAGATGGCGAGGTGCTCCTTAGACATGCCGATAAGACCGGCGTTGGCACCGACGATGAGCATGACGCATGATGGAGCGCCTGAGGTCAGACCGTAAAGCGTAGTCTTGAGGTATCGCTCGTGTCCGGCCAAATCTGTGCAGATCCCGTCAGAACGCGAAGCCGATGAGAAGTGCGAGAACGCACCGATGAAGGAAACGATCTTCGCGGCTTGCTCTGCTATCGCGTCCCAGCTGAGCTTCTCGTGCTTGATGGTCTCGGGATCGAGAGGAGCTCCACTGTTGGGAAGGATCGGCGCGCCTGAAGGCGCGAACCCCAGAATCTGCGCCTGTGAGCTGCCATCTCGCCTAAAACGGCCGAGAGATGCTCACCTCCATGCCAACGCTGGACGTCCGACCTGTCTCAACTTCATGCTTGTGCCGGAAAAGCGCCACTCGCGCTCGGCCCCTTCCGTCATCCAGCGCGCCTGTGATCACCGTGAAGGGCGCACATAGCAGGCTCAAATAATTCGAGCGTACCTCGGGTGAGAACACCTAATGTCGTTGACTTTCCACTGTCCACGTTGCCTACTACTGCGCAACGGACCTCCGGCGTTAAAGATACGTTGGGAGGAGGTAATCGTAATAACAGCGTTATCCGGGGACCGTCTCCGCTCTCAAATAGAATAGAAACCTGAGCGTTTGAGTAAGAAACGAGATACTCCGACACTGAATTGGGAAATAGTATACCTTTCCTCCAACCTCCTCCGTAGCCGTAACTATCGCAGCTCGTAAACGCGCAAGCTCGTCGGGCGTTCTTGCTACGCCTGTCCAGTCGTCTCCGTTTAATGATTCGCCAGCGAATAATCGCGCATGTGGAGGCTGAGCCCCTAATCGGAAGACATACTCCCCGCGGTGCTGGGTTAGCAGCGCGGACAGCATGTCCTTCGCCCGGTCGTGGTTCGTAGGGACGCCAGACGTCAATAATGTCTATCGAAGCGCGATGCTCTAAGCCTCGACCATCGGAAACGTTTAGTGGATGAGCACATACCACAATTTCTTCCTCCACACCGGACTGAAGGTCAAACCCCTCGGCCTTCTTTCCCCAAGCATCGGCCGTGCTATCATCGCTCTTCACTCCGGCCTTCTCCTTCTCTGTTCGCGGCTTCTCCTTCTCTATTCGCGGCTTCTTGCTGTCCTTGGTGATTTGAACCTGGGCCGCCGTGGCCTGTGCGCGCTGTTTCGCGACCTCACGATTGTGTATATCGTCTATGTCCTGCTGGAACGACCGGAGGGTCGCCATGATCACGGAAGTGAGGTGGATTGCCGATTCTCACTCATTAACGGCGCTTATATGCGGAGTCAAGTGCCCGAGTCAGGGTTTGCCAGTAGTTATCTGCGAATAATGTGGGTGGACGTTGTACAGCTCGATGACTCGCTCGAGAAAGGCAGCCTGCGCATATGCATGCCACGTGGAGATCCCGGTCATGACGTGCGTACCTTTGCTTACTTTCGGCTCTTTCGCAGGCAACAGAGCAGTTCACAAAGCAAACTACAAGCGGGGTCCCATGTTCACGTAAGTGCCCGGAAACGGATATGCGAACTTGATTGTGAGCCGCGGGACTGATCGCCATCGTTTGGGCCTGTATTGGCTGTTCGCTGAACCCTCAATCTCGGTATTCCATCCGATATATCTTTGTTAGGGGCTGTTGCATTCGGTAGAAGCCTGTACGCTGATGCGAGGCTTGCTGATAAAGCTCTTGGTGCAAGCATAAACGAGTGCGTCTACAATCCGAGTTCACCTGACAATGGCCTGAGCTATATATGGTCTGGGGACACTGCGAAAGTAGACTTCGACTATATTCTCAAGACAAGTTTACCTTCCGTTAACATTTTGAAGAGCATCAGACTTCGGATGAAATTGTCCTTCCGCGAACATGGTCATCGTATACGACCTGGACCTGCCTCGTATCCTGCAGGTTGGTATCCCTGCATCTCACCGGATGCGGAAGCCAGCTATCAACAGAACGCGCTAGGCGTTTGGGGAGACCTCCATAGACAACCTCGATCCAAAAAAAATCAAGCCGTCAATTAGTCTCAATGCCGATCCTGGTGCGACCGTCTGACTTGCTACGCTCCCGACAGACAACGTTGACATTCTGTACTTCTCCTTCGGCAGCGTGCTTGCAATCCTCTAGGGGAGATGCAATGCCGGGGATAATTCTATAGCAGCCACGTTATGCTCCGCCGTTACGACACACGCTGCTGGAACGAACACAGCAAAAATTATTTGTCCTGCAAGAGTCGCTATCACGGTGTCTATGGGACGACAATGCACCGCACTCTACTAATCCCGTCCAGTTGGCAAGCCAATGACATGCCGAATTATCGATAAGCCCGCTTTCGGTCAAGCCTGTGCATTTCCTCGCCAATGGTATGCGTAACTCCGACATGCCCCACCTCCTCGTACGGCAAAGTATCCTCAACGCGCCCGAACGCGGCTCGCAGATTGACGTTATCGCTGAGACTTCCGCAGGAGTGTTCGTCTACCAGCTCTGGCCATTCAGCAAGGAGTCGCGCAGCGGAGTATGCGTTCAGACTGCCACTGAACGTCGGCCTGTGCATGCGTATGGTGCAGAAGATGAGGATGAGCATCCAGCTGCCGATCATCCCGATGGCGAGGTAGATGAAAACGGGGTTCCTACGTCTTCCCGAGACTGATATGTGTTGGATAGCTCCGACACTAACGTGGTCACGAGAGAGTGTGGCCAGGGCTGCAGTCATATGCGTTGCGCCAACCCACATCTGGTCAGCCAGAGTTGAAACGTTGACTTGTTGGTACTGTTGACTATTGGTGCCCGTAGCATCATCCTGTGTCACTTGAGCTTGATAACCAAGCATCCTCAAAATGGAGTCATAGCGTTCATAGTCCGTTTCACTGCCACCGAAGTACTGGGTGATGGAGGCGAAGGCAGCGACGAGCGGATGCCATGGGATTTCGTCATGCTCCATATTGATGTCGAAATAGGGATGTGGTCGGAATTGTGAATAGGTCTGTCGTTCACCGTGAAGAGCAGCCGTGCCTGTGGCGATAGAGCCGGTACAGTTGATGTACCCAGACGAGTCGGTGCCGCCATTCTTGTCGTAACTCATCACATGAGCTACGACGTTGGCTTGCGCAACGTTTTGATTGATCCACCCTGAGTTGGTTTCCCAGTCAGCGTACCAGTCGGAACACCAGTCAATTTCTACGACGATGTTCGCTGGCAGTCCGGATGGCGGTGACAGCTGAGCTGGCTTCTGAAACCCGCGCATTCCAAGAGCAAAGCACCACTGTTCCAAGGCGATCGTGTGGCTGTATATGGCAGGAAAGGGTGGGATTGCGTTCGTCACGGGCTCGCATCGACCGTCAAACCATATACCTGGTATGGTCGGTATCTCCATACCATAGGTGTCGGTCCCGAGGAACACGTTCCCTAGGGTACGGTCAACCGAACCCGAAGATCTATCTTCAGCCATGAAAATACTGGTGTTGTAGACGTCGAAGATCGAGAAACCTGATGTCCAGGAGGCTTCACCCGTCGCTATTTGTTCCAACGCCCCGAGGTTATTTATATTATGCGGAGAGATCGCTTCCACGATGACGGTCTTGTTGACGAGGGTATCGATATTTCCCTGCGGCCATGCGCGTGTGATAACGCTTGGAGTGCTCAGAGAGAGGCCGCATGCTAGGCTGAAGAGGATGAAGGTTGCGGAGGGGCGTATACGACGCCTTATCATGGTGAAGTATGCATCACCCATACCCATCGGGCCCTGCCAACCGCGGTCTGCCAGCCAGAACAATTCGGTCCAAGTGCGCGGAGCAGTTGACGGGTTCTGTAGCGCAGATATCGCGAGACGTGCGAGGTGCGCGCCGGTGATTTGTGTATGGGCTTGGAAGAACCAGGTGGTCAGGTGTTCGGCACAGGTCTCCTTCCGCCAGCCGAAGATGAGCTTGTCATTGGATTTCATCTGCGAGATATTGTCGAGGAGAAACAGCATGAAGGCTGTGTAAACGAACCAGGCAAGGCAGAGGAAAAGGGTGCCTGGATAACTACGCAAGTATGAACCGGAGGCGGAGGCATACACAGACGCTTTGCTCGTCACGAGCTTCGCGTTCACGAAGGGAGAGAATCTGGATAGCATCGGCGTTGAACGAGGGTGATTGAGAGGCTACGGAAGGCATCACCATCAGCATTTGTCACCGAGTACTACTATCTGACTCCACTCACAATTATGCCGCGCTGAGGACCTGCCCGCTGGCCGAGTGAGGCCTAGAGCACGACTTATAAACGCAAAACACAATGCGACTAGCCGCAGCGTCACTACAGAGCTCACATCGGATGTCAGTGGATCATGGGATCTGAACTGTCATGCGATGCCCGTCGTGTTTCATTACAATATGAATAAAGCCCACACCGGCGTTCCGTGATTTTGTGAATGAGCGCGGTACACTCGTCTTCACGAGATGATTCTTCACACAACTTGTCATGCAGCAGTGCCGATCTCGCGGAGAATGATGGATCCAGCCGCCACAAAGGCAACATGAAGATCTCGGCGTAGGGCATTCAAGTGCATGCCGACGCAGCTCCTTCGTGTGCTTGCCCGAGACGATAGCCACCGAGGGGAAGGGGGGGACAGTACCGGGCGCCCATCTTAGTTGATCCTGGTGTTCGCATCAAGGAACATTTCTCGCGCATCGCTACGCTGCGGAGCGAGCGCCGAGCCACGGCCTACGGCCATTACACAGCTGGTTGGCGTGCGAAGCAGGCTTCGTTACTTATTTCGTAGCATTGCACGCAATGAATCAACGCCACATACACAACGACGACGAGAGCGCGAGTTTCACAGGACACGCTGAAGCGGAAAACTCAAATTATATGCGGGATCAAATGCCCGAGTCAGCCTTTGCGGCTTTGGCCAGTCCTCTGCGAATGTGGGGGAATGTTGCGCAGCTCGCTCGCGGGGGTACGGTATGGTACTTCCCCGGCACGGGTCCCAAAACTTCCCAAAAGCGGAACGCCGCGGCCGGTTGCCGCGCACATACATGCACACCACGTGGTAGTCTTGTTGCGCCGTCTCGTCCGCACGTCGTCGTCCGCGATACCAGGGCTCTAACCGAAGTTTCGTGCAAGCGCGTTCTACCCCTCTACATCAAACCGTCGTATAATGCATAACCATTGTTGCACTGTGGCTCCTACAATCATTCAAGGCCGCTCACACACGGCGCTATCCACATGCGAAATGCACCTTTTGCTGGCAACAACGCAATCGCAGCCGCGCGTGTCTCGCAGATTGAGTGCACCCAGATTCGACCTCCGACCTTTCTGCATACGGATCACGTCCGGCGACTGAATCTACAAGGGGAACTCCCTCGTGTGCCCGGGCCTTTCGCGACCCGGGCGTGCGCTTTCTTTTGCAGAAAAGCTCCCGGAAATCAGCTAGGCCATCCACCCCAGTGACCCCAAGGATCAACATGTATATATCGGGGCCACCGTTTATGGCATCGCAAGCGTTCGTGGCGAAATGTTGTCAGAGCAGGGACCGAGGCCCTCAGCCGCGCCTTCACGTTGGCTACAAGACAACTTCGGACAACGATTTCGAGGTTTGCTACAGTCTTGCTTGAAAGGCGTTGGAGGCTTTGTGAACCTGCCAACTACGCACGTTCGTATGGTCACTACGAGCCGCTACATACCAACATTCGTCCTGATGCATCAAATACAAATAGATTATACCCGCTCTGAAAGAGACGTCCTTGTAACGACAGTGACGCCCAAAAGGAAATGCGAAATGAAATTCCCATGAGTATCAAGATTCGATCCGATGTCCGAATCAAGTCCTGTCGTCAACTCGTTTGCTTACTCGGTCACCGATAAGCTCGTCTCTTGGTCAACTTGTGTATCTTTCCTCCGCCTGTATGAGTGACGCCAATATGCCCCACTTCTTCCTCTGGCCTCGTGTCTTCGACGCGTCCAAACGGGGTTTGTAGATTACCGTTCTCTGCGAGGTCACCGCAACAATGCTCCTCGACCAGCTCTGGCCAGTCCACAAGGAGACGGCCCGCTGAATACGCGTTCAGGCTCCCGCTGAAGGTCAGCCGATGCATACGGATGGTGCAATAGACGAGAATGAGGAGCCAACTGCCAAGCATTGCAACGGCAAGGTAGACGAAATCCAGGTTTCTGTTTCTTCCTGAGATCGGAACGAGTTGAACGGCCTGAGCGAAAGTCTCGTTACGCGAGAGCGTGGCCAGGGTTGCGGTCATGTGCGTTGCACCAACCCACATTTGCGAAGACATAGTTTCGAGGGTGATTTGGCTGTGAAGAATAGCACCATCTTCATCGATCCCATCGCCCCCCTCCGCATCCGTTGCGGTGATATTCGTTTCCCCACCCTCGTGCAAACGAGCTTTGTATCCTAGCATCTGCAGGGTGGAATCGTAGCGTATCCAATTGCCATCATTGTCTGGAGGAAGTTCCTGCGTCAAAACTGAGAAGGCGATGACTAGCGGATGCCAAGGGATTTCGTCTCGCCAGACGCTTGTGTCGAAGTACCCCGATTGCTCAAACTGTGAAAACGTCTGGCGCTGACCATCAACATCCGCTGCCCCCGTAGCGAAGGACGCGTTGCATTTGATGTAGCCTGTGACGTCTTCTGAGCCATCCGTGCTGTGGCTATGAACTTGTGCTATAACGCTCGCATCGGAGAATGGGGGCTGGTTCATCCAGTCCGTATTGTAAGTCGAATTGGCTGCCCAGTCGGAGCACCAGTTCACTGTCAAGTCGATATCTGGCAATTCCTTGGCTGACCATATAGTGCGATCATTCCAAGATCCGTACATTCCAAGATCCTGGCACCATTGCCATGTCGCTGTGTTAGAAGAATTATGGAGGTCTCCGGGGTAAGGCACTGAGACGGACTGTAATACCTCGCATCCGCCACGGAGCCAGACACCGGCCATCGAGCTGATGTTCATCCCATGGGGATCGCCGCCAAAGAATATGTCGTCTAGGGTGCGATTCGTTGGAACCGATGAGTTCTGTCCTCTGGTGAAGACGCTAGAGTTGTAGATATCGAATACTGAGAGCCCCGACGTCCACGAGCCTTCCCCCGTGGCCATCTGAGCCACACTTCCCACATTGTTGAAGCTTTCTGGTGTCAACGTCTCGACGCGAGCCTGGCGAGTAACGCGGGTATCGATGGTCCCTGACGGCCAGGCTCTCGTGATAACGCTTGGAGTGGCTAAAGCGAGAGCACACGCCATGCTGAAGAGAACAAACGTGGCGGAAGGCTTCACGCGCTTTCTAGCCATCGTGAGGTACGCTTGCCCCATGCCTATAGGGTTCTGCCAGCTTCCGTCTGCGATCCAGAAGAGTTCGGTCCAGGTGCGTGGCGCAGTGGAGGGATTCTGGAGGGCGGAGATGGCTAGTCGCGCGAGGTGAGCGGCGGTAATGCCTGTGTGGCCCTGAGAGAAAATCACAGTCATATGTTCAGCGATGCGCTCCTTCCGAAATGCGAAGATCCTCTCGGGAGACGACATCTGTGAGGTGTCGTTGAGAAGCCATAACATTGCAAGAGTATAGGCAATCCATGCAAGACATAGAAAGAGGGTGCCGGGATAATGTCGCAAGTAAGATCCGGAGGCGTAGCCGTAGTCGGCGCCTTTGCCGCCCATGAATTTTCCGTTGATGAATGGGGAGAATGTGGATGCCATCTACGTTGGCGAAGGTGACACCCTGAGGAAACGACCATGATCAGCGTCCTAGCCGTGCTGCGCCGTTAACTGGACTCACGAAGATGCTGGGCTGAGGGCCTGCCTGTTGAATGAACGAGGCCCCATGGGCACATGTTATAAACATGAGACACAGCCCGGTTCTCCGCGGCGAGTTTCAAGGCATCACTGCGCACGTCCCGTCGGCAAATTTCTATGCGATCCATTTCGTGTTCTTGAGTCTTGCTTGCCCTCCCCCCACTCTGAGCGAGGCTGTGTGGTCGAGCGCGACGCCGCTTCTCCTCCCCACCCCTGCCACCGAACTGTTCACATCAGTAACTCGGCATGCAGCGATGCCAATCGCACGAGACGATAAGCGTGCAAACGTGAATGGACCGACTTAGAAGATTGCAACAATCGCTAAACAGCAGTGGGTGCCGGTGAGGCCAATATGGAGCACGGTGCTCCCTTCGCGTTTGTGCCGTACACGATAGCAGGTGGGACAGTACTGGGCGCCAATCTTGTTTCATCCCGATGTTTACATCAGGAACATTCTCGCGCATCGCCCGGCTGCGGGATGAGCGCCCAGCACTGATTGCATCCAATAAGACCCGATACATAGCTAGTTGGCGTGCGGGGTGGGCTTCGTTACTTCAGCCGTACCTGACGTTGAGCGTAATGAATCAAGCGCCACATACACAGCAACGAGAACCTGACCAAGACACGCAGAAGCGGAGAACTCAGCAAAACATGGTCCAGTCCCCGATGTTCCGACAACACGCCTCAGCATGCGAACTAAGTTCCCCCTACTCCGAAGTTCATTCCGACCATCTTCTCCACCACGGCTTGGGCCGCATCCCAGTCCATGCTCTCCCCGATCGTCTCTCCGTACTCCTCCTCGTCGTCCTTCTTCTCTCCGTCCTCCTCGCCGGCGGGTAATCCCCACCCGCCGAAGCTGGCGCGATTGTGTGGGGCACTGTCCGGTTCTGCGCTTGTGGGCGACCGAAGAGCTTCCAGAAGCTCCCGCCTTGATTTCTCGCCATCCGATGATAGCACGAAGCCGCGAGGCGTTTCTTCACCATCGCCTTCCTCTCCTGCTATATCCAAACTGGCGACCTTTAGGCTGTGCGGCTTGCTCGCGACCCGGCCTCTTCGGTCCCGGGGCTTTCCGCTGGATAGGAACGACGGAGCCCTCGACGCACGTTTGGAGTAAGAGTACGAGAAAGATGGGTGCGAGGAGAGGGGGGAGGTCGACGAAGCGGAAGAGGGAGGGTGCATGACGAGTTTGAGGAGGTTGCTGACCGCTTCTTCGCCGGGACCCGGCTTGGGCAGAGGCGACGTGAGTGAAAGGGACGAGAATCGCGTTCGCGCTTGGGACGCGAGGACGAGCAGCCTAAGGCTATCATGTTAATCACAGAAAACCATCGCGATCTGCCCACGTACATTTGTCGTAACCGAGGTTGCTGGTGGCTAGCCGTTTCGGCGAACATGTTCTCTTGCTCCTGCTTGGACGCCGTGAACTTGGAGTGCAGGCGCGGATATATTGGTAGAATGATTTTATCCCTGAACATTCGCAGCGCCACTGTCCTTACGTCTACTTGAGGCGCTGCAGTGAGCCCTAGCCCGCTCATGCTGCCACCCTTACTGTTGCTCCCTGAACCATGCGTATGACTTTTCGGCGTCCGGTAGAGGGATTGCAGGAGTTGATCCGTTTGGAGAGGAAGAAGAACGCCCTCGACATACGGCAGCACTTGATCCCAGAAGAAGCCCCAGACCTCGACGACGCGCCGGACGAGGGTCTCGTCCTTCTCATTTGCCAGCTTGGCGGTCATGGTGACCATCCCCGCGGATATGAGTTCGGCGCAGTCCGTTTCTAGTGTGTTTATGGCCCTGGCCGGGCCGCCGGAGACAACGCTCGCGATATGTCGTTTCACGAGCGTATTGAGATCTTCGCTGTATACACGATGCCACGGTCAACCCTCCGTCTCTCACAACGCGTGATGAGGGTTGAAGAGGCTTACATAGGGTATCGAAGAGGCTCGCCGTTGAAAAGCGGGAGGAAAAGGACGTGGAGTTGCTTCCACGGGTCCTTGTCGCTACCTGAACCTTGAGTTGGCATCGATATGCCAGATGTCTTGCCCGACACCGGCAGGCTGATCACGCTTGCTGCGGCACTCGATCCTGCAGCGAGAGCGATCGACGGCGCGATGGCGGTAGGGAGATGGGCGAGACGGTGCATCTCTCGCTGGACGTGCTTCGAGTCGTACACTGACCGACCCGAGGTGGCCTGGGGGAAGAATAGGGGTGGACATCGGACAGCCGCGATAGACGGGGTAGAGGATAAAGATAGCGATGATGCAGGACGTTGGTCATAATGTTAGCGATAGGGCTGTGCGAATGCACATGGACCGCACCTTGGAGGGCGAGAGATGACCCTTCGACGACGCGCTCGGCGCCGCGTTGACCAACGTTGAACCAGAATTGTACGACCCTTCTCCGCGCGAATCCGCTCGGGAATGACTTCTGGGCGGAAGCAGGGATGCTTGCAGGGGCTCATTGGCGTTGGAGAGCGGGTTCTTGGATGATTTCGAGGCTTGTCCGGAGAGCTTTTCGCTAAGAAACGCGAGCCGTCGAGATGCACCACTCGACGTCGGCGCGGCATTGGTGTTGTGTTCGGCGGTGTTTGACCCGGAGACGTCGTTTACCAGGACTGCGCCGCGCGAGGGAAACACGGCGGCGCGCGCTGTGCTCGGCGTCGACGAGCGAAGCGTGTATCCATCGTCCGTGCTGGATGATCGTGGTCTGGTGAAGTCCGGTGGTGCAGGCGATGTTGGGCGTTGAGACATACCGCTCGTAAACGTTGAAGACTACGTATGTCGAAACAGGTGGAAACTCAGTATCATTTCGGCTCGTTCAGGCTCGCTCTCTCCTACCACCACCGCCACTCGAGCACCAGTTGCATGCTTCGAGCTGCCCTTGGACGTGCAGCAACAAGAAAGTTACTCAAGTCTGGACGATGTTTTGCTCTTAGAGACTTTACAGTATTAGCCATCGAGACGTCTGCAGATGATACATGTGCAGCAGTCGTTACCTCCGACCGGCAGATTCTGTCGAATGTCGTGGTCAAACAACATGTCGTACATGAGGAGTATGGTGGGATATATCCTATGGCGGCTATAGATCAACATCAGAGGAACCTTGTACGTCTCCATCAACCGGCCGTTTGTTGTTGTTGTCGGACGTTGACCTGAAATGAACAGCCTGGTGCCGTACAACGAGCTCTCAGTGATGCGCGGCTTACCATGGCAGATATCGATGGTGTCGCCTTCACGCGAGGGCCAGGCATGGGCGGTCCACTTTCTGTCGGTTCAAATGCCGCCAAAACGCTTGCAGCCGCGAATTCGAAGCCGCTCGTCGGCGTTCACCACATGCAAGCGCATGCCCTCACGCCGCTGCTCACGACTCCACCGGACTCTCCCTTGTACCCCACGTTCCCCTTCCTCACCTTCCTGCTATCTGGGGGGCATTCACTCCTTCTGCTCTGCTCGTCGCCCACCCACTTCCGCGTCCTCGCGACAACGGTAGACAAATCCCTGGGTGGGGCCTTCGATCACGTCGCCCGAAGGCTCGGGTTGCGATGGGGCACGCACGGGCCAGGCGCGGAACTGGAGAAATTTGCCGCCTCGCCTCTCCCGCCCGGCGCTGAAGCGGCCGTAGCAGAGGTCGGCAAGCCGAAAATCCCCATGAAGGGCCAGCTTGCATTCTCGTTCACGGCGCCATACTCTTTCGTCGAGCTTTACGTCGAACGTGCAGGCGGTGAAGACAATCTCACCGAGGCTGAGCGCTGGGCCCTCGCCAGGGCTTTTCAAGGGGCCGCCGTTCAGCAGGTGGAGGATAAACTGTTGATGGCACTCCAACAGTGCAAGAGTGAGGGAATCGAGGTCAGAAACGTGGTGGCTAGTGGCGGCGTAGCGAGCAACGGTTACTTGAGGCAAAGGTCAGTACAAGTTAGACCTTGATATGTTTCCGGGTCTGACTTGAGCTATACAGACTTGAAGCGTGTGCGAAGGCATTTGACCCCTCCGGAGCCATCTCGACACTTTATCCTCCGCCCGAGCTTTGCACAGGTCTGTCTTTCATCCACTATCCCGCCTGCCTATTTGACGCGCTTTCCGTTCTTCCACGGTGTTGGTCTCGCACACTTACTGACCACATTTTTCAGACAACGCTGTAATGATTGCGTGGGCCGCACTCTCCCGCTTCCTCGATGGCGATACCGACGCCTACAGCATCGACCTTCGTCGAACGTGGCACATTGAGGAGTTGTCCGGCGAGAAGCCGGTAGACGAAAAGTACTGGTACCATAAGTCGGGACAGCCGCAGTCCGTTCCCAAAGCTGAATTATAACATCCATCTTGCCTAATACTAAACGACTTTACGACAACTCGCGTCAACCCGTCGATGTTTGGATGATAATCGCCCGATGCATCAGTCGCAGTGTGATCGAGCCGGTGTTGTGAACGAACTCGAGGCGGCGCTGTCCCATCTATAACCTGGTTTCCCGCTGCGAGCCTGAGGAAAACAAAGTTTGGCGGATGTGCGATATCCGATCAACCGCCATCACTGTGCATCCAACAGGTGAGTGATCAACTTCTGCGTCCTCGATATAGCTATATATGATATTTGCAGATGGTGAAGCAGACGATCTCAGCTATATATGCAGGCGCTCACGTACACTGGGCAGCGCGGAGGACGGATGTTGCTATGGTCTAGTTTCCACATAGATCAGAAATTGTCTTGCTCAAGGATGTGGCAAGCGCACAACACGTCGGCGACCGCTCAGGCCGGTGATAAATCCCAAAACACGGCGATAATTCAGAGGCGAATGGGCTGAAGCAACCACGATTGCTGAGGTTGCGCGTACGCGGTTTCTTTACGCTCGGGGCCGGAGCGCCTCGCATGATGTCGTCGTATCATGATTGCAACGAATACTCTCTCATTGAACAGCAAGATAGCGCCCGCCTCTCGGGGCAGCAATCGCCGAGCATGCTATGCTCGTAATTCCTCAGCCCACCGTCGCAAACGCGTCCAGCGAGCTTCTACCTGACGCCGAATGCTGATCGCGCCGCTGTGGGTCGGGTCACATTCTCACATCTGGGCGCGCTTTGATCGGGGATTTTCACCCAGGAAGCTCGAAGAACAGCGCCCATTGCTGACACCGCCTCCATGCTCGGGCAAGGACGTTCACTTGAGCTGTGGGTACCGTCGCACTCGATTCGTAGTTTTGATGCCACCTTCGGTGTATACATAACGCTTCCCTAACACTGCCCCAGCGATCTTACTATCGCCGCCTGCCTATTGAACGAATGGTCTTCAACGTTTTCCGCTTCAGGTGTATCTTGCCGTTGGTACGCCAAGTGCTGCAATGCTACATCCGGTAACTGACCTAAAAGCGAACGATTCATTCTGATAGGCTACCACAGCATGGAGTAGAATCCATCCGGTGGACGTCGGTGCGCCGAGTGGGTGTACCTGATGGGCACGTTTCTTCCGCACGAACTCCAAAGAGTTACACGACCGGCGGCAAATTGGATCACGACGACAAAAGCGAACGAACTGCGAACATGATGGGTGCCGTTGAATATGTTTTGCACGCAACCCGTTCCCGGAGGGTGTTTCCTAGCGGTGTAATATATACTCGCGAGGAGGGTGAAGAGTCCGTTAACCCTCGCCTTCCCTGTTTCCACCTTTTCCCTCTCTTTCAGGCAGGCCCTGACTCATACGGCGCGGAGCGACCAGGTACTATTGCACATTCGACCTACCGGAATGCTTGACGCTGACTATTAACCAGATTTCAATTCCGTCTATGTCGTCAGGCCTGCATCCGTATGCGGGGGAGAAATCCGACGTTCCCTCCAAGATCGTTCACGTGTCCGGATACTACCTCCATTATCACGCCCTTTCCATCCTCGCGATCGGAATATGGGTTGTTTACACAGTTACTATGATTGGGCTGCTGGATAGCCTCACCCGCGCCGACGTATCCAATCCCCAGGCTACGGCGTTGAAGGAGACTGTTGTCGACATCATGTCAACCTTCTTCATCCAGGCTCACGTTCCGATTACCGGCATGTACCTTGCTCGGCTTGGCATGTCAGCTCTTCAGCATCCCAAAACAGCGCCACGAACCTGGATCGAGCTGTTTTGGCTGGCCGATCGTAATTGGCAAGGCCCTCTTGCCATTGGGGCCACATACTACACTATCCTGCAACGGCGAATCCGCCCCTCTCCCACTTTCATCATGTTCTCGCTAGCCAGCATCGCGGCGTTAGCCACGCCTATCCTAATGCGTCAGGCATGGCCCGTCAGCGTCCTCGACACGGTCCAGACATGGACATTGGACCTGGATAGCTTCTCGCCCATCACCTTCAACAACGTCGACAGTGCTTCGCAAAGAGCAACCGGCGAAGGTGCCTGGACGTCCGGGCTATCGATTTTGGACGTCTACAACACTAGCACGTATCTCAATGCGAGCTATCCCTACGTCAACGAAAGCTCTGGAGAGTATTTCTTTGCCGGCGACGCCATCAACTTGGAGATCCCTTCCATGCCAGGCGTATGGATCTCCGGCAATTGCCGCGAGGTACAAACACCTTCATTACCCGACTATACCGACGCAAGTTTGCAACAATTCTGTGACGACTTCGGCTTCGACCAGCACTACCAGGAGACGGCTACCCTCACGGCCACAGGAGGCAGTGTTTTTCTCACCATAGCTTGGTGCAGCAACTTTTTCGCGAATGGCACTGTCAACAACAACTGGATGAACGAAGGCTACTTCCCAGCGAGCATTTTCGTGTACCTGAACGGTACCGATGGTCACACAGATCTGAACGGGTCAATCCAGTGCGACTCGGAATTCGTCACAGGGACAGTCACAGTCAACGAGATCTACCTGCAGACCTTCACTGAACTAGAGCCTGACGCCTTCTTTAACGCGAGCTTGCCGCACGTCGACATCCCACAGCATCCGCTCTTCGCCGCAATGTTCTCTATCACACAACCTTTCGGGACCGCAGATCCCTCTGACGATGAGAGCGAGACGCAGAGCGTAAACGCAGAAAGGGCCGATGCCATCCTCAGGGAGTTGGGGTATCAAGCGCAGTACCAAGAAGATCTCAAAGGCGTCGCGTTCCTTCAGCCCAACCTCTCTACCATGGCCACCCAATTATGGGTCGGAACGACGCACATGACCGCGGCGCTCAGCCTCCTCTCCCGCGACAGCGTCCATTTCGACAACGCCTTGCAGTTCATACCCGTCACCGGCCGAGTCAGGCGTCCGGCGTTCATCGCCCTCGCCGTGGCCGCCATCGGAATATGGTTCCTCATCCTGGTGTACTGCACCTTCCGCATGTATCGCCCTACCTTCAGCAGTAGCCTGAACGGGTACGCCGCCGCCCGTCTACTTGCGGACTGGCCAGAACTGGTGGACGGCCATTGCTGCGGGGACCTTATGGAGAACACGAATCTACGGAAGAAATTCGGTCGAGTCGAGGACACGAGGCCGGATGAGCCGCTTGGACACATTGGCGTTCCCCATACCGAGACGGAACACGAGACTCCCCTCGACTCCGCACGGGCTTATAGTTAAGTTAGAAGCCTGTGCTTGGGCAATGGACGCGAGCACGACTCGACAGTTCTGTCGTCTTGCCAGTTGAATCCTACGCCGCCATTGCAACTCCTGTACAATTAGCCACTGTAAGGGCCAGGTTCCGTAGTAATCCAGACGGATGTGTATATAACTGTAGACCCAGCACTGCGTCGTGCTCGAATGTATGCCACCGTTTCGGGTCTTGCAGCAAGCGATTCGACTTGTGAACGGAGACGATCAGCGTAGAGAGCGCATTGAGCGTTATGGACTAACCATCTCAACATCAAGCAGGTGGGAGGAACGTGACCCAGAGAATAATCGACAGGGCACCCCATATAGCACTCCAAGTAATCCATATCTTGCCCCAGCGAAATCTAGGCGCCGCGTTCGGATGACCAGGCGTAGTCTTATCCCTTGATAGTAGCCATACGACTCCCCAATACGTGAACGGCACGCCTGCAGTGAGACGCAACGCGATCTGGACATGCGAGGCAAAAAGCAACGTCGAGGCGAGGATGAAAGCGTGGATGGCGTGCGGAGCTAGTGTAGGGTTCAGGAACGCTCTCCCTAGGTTATCTGAGTTGATGGCTTCTCCGTGACCAGGAGTATCACTTCGGCGGGAGTGTGGGGCAGGGGATGGGCTTGCTGACTGCGGATATAACATCCGTTTGAGAGGTGGTAATAGAGCGTGCCGGATATACCACCACGAGAAACTGAAGAGAAGGGCGAGGACGGGCGCTGCGATGAGGAAGTTGGGTATCTGCGCTGTGGTCCAGTAGCGGAACAGGCCGACGTTCCAATAGGTGCTCTGCGCATACGTGTAGATGGACGGAGGCATATTGTTGCACCATGAAGCTGGGGTGAAATGCACAGTGGGAGGTAGGTGCTGAGCATCAGGCGTAGGCAATGGATCAGACGTCGTGTATTCGGGCACGAATGATTGCACGGGAGAATCGCTAGTAGGCAGCATCACGGCGAAGATCGAGGTAAGATTGGGGTTTGGCGAGCAGAAGAGTCGATATGCGATGTACTGGTGAATTATTGACGGCACGAGAGGCGGTGCCGCAAGTATAACAGCTTTCAAGATTGACAAGATATCGGGCTGCATGACATATCGTATCAGAGGGAGTCTTGAATAGGACATTGAAAACGCACCATGCGTTTCGTCCCCGACAGGATCGGTGCAAGCAAGATGTCCCATACTATGAATCCACTGAGTAGTATCCCATTGGATCTGAATGCACTCGCAGCCGCGAAGTAACAGGATGCTGCCGCGTATCTTTTACGGCTAACGTTTAGCAGCCCTAATCAACGACGTGAGATTGAGGGTAGCTGACGGAACACGTGCAAGAGACCATACCTTTATAGGATAGATATGCAAAGAAAGGTTCCGTATACGGTGCATGACGGAGGGCAGCAGGGCTACCGGGAAGTAGCGAGGTAAGTGCCGTGACCAGGGCAACGTCCCGAGAATGAAAGTGCTCGACAGTAAGGTCATATAGAGTCAAGGGTGCCAAGAAATCGCAGAGCAGAGCTGCAAGAGCCCCTCCCTGAAGGACATCTTCCAGAGATAGCACTGAGGCGTGTCCGAAGTACGCCTTCGCCCGGCGGAGCAAAATCCCAGCGTAACGCATGACGAAGGCTATACCAGGAAAGAACGCCCATTCGTACTCGAAGACGTATCCATGGAGTGCAATATGACTGAAGTGGAAAGCATCCCAGCGCAGCAGGGTTGATGTCCACCTTGAGAAGATAGTCGTGTCCGGAGATGTATTCGGATTCGGTAGCAGGAGAAACGGTGACGCGTCAAACAGAGGAAGATACGACGCGATTTGTGCGATGCAAAGTACTAAACATCGTGAAACGATGGTCGCCAGGACGATAATACGTTTGTTCTGTGTGTGTGCGCCCATGACATGTTTACGACACTCTGGTCAAGTCGCCAGCAGCCCCATTCCCGGACCCCCAACGGTCAGGTGATCGTCTCTCGCGAGGGGCGCGCGCTTTCCTGGACGCGTCTTTGTGCTTGCTTCGTGCTCCTCGATCCCCGACACGTCCACCTCCTCGGGTTGCCCGGCCACTATGCCCGGGTTCTTAGACCCGTCATCTGACAATGCGGGCACAAGCAAACGAAAGTTCGAGGAAGGGTTCCTCGAATCTCGTAAACGACAGGCCGTGGGCCACTCCGGCACCACCTCCGGAGGAAGCAATGAGACGTATTGGATGGTCCAGTGGTGTGTGCATATATGCACTCGTAGATAAACGAGAGGGCTTATTAGCTCCATGCTGCCTAAAGGAGAGCACCTCAGGCAAAGAAGCATAAAACATGGGATGGCGACGCTGTACTGGTAGTCAAAGCGTCAGGATTCGCGATATTATACGACCAAGAGGACGGAAGAAAGTTCGTGCGCACCAATTGCGCTTTGCTCGCATTGATAAGCTTGTGACCCGCGAATGTGTATGCTTACGCGCCACTGTGCAGGCTGACCGACGGCAAGATACCGATCTCATGCATAGACGTCGGCGAGCAATTCCATGTAGGCAACAAAGACGTTGAAGTGGATCACCCGATTGATCGGGCAAGCTATATGGCCGGAACGTGCTTTGGCGCAAGCCCTTTCGGTGGCCCTTCAACTCCTGTGGCACCGTCTATCAGCACCCCTGCGAGCAGTGCTCTCCGTAGACCATACAAAGCGCTCAAGCCATCCGTCACCCCAAATGTCTCTACTTCTGGAGCCAAGCCAGTTGGTACCGGCCTATCATCAGTGCCTATTACTACCGGCAAGATTCGCCGGGTCGAGCTCGAGTCCGTCAACCTCTCATCTACCGGCTCACAGCAAGAGAACAAACCGCCAACTACCCGAGGTAGAGATTCGTATTGGTCCGCAAGCTGGTAATTGTCACCGACCTACTTTATATGCGTCGTGTATCTGACTGTCCCTTGCGCTCTTGTGTGCGTCACAGGAGAAAGCCTCAACAGAAGAAGCACAAAACATGGGACGGGGATGCATTCATCGCGTGCCGGAATGACGTGTTCACAATCTTGTCAGACACCGGGAAGAAGTGGGTTAGAGGAATGCTTGTATGATCTTATGCTCACAACATTCTCTAGGCTCGGGACTGCTAAGTGGAAGGGCGACCCACTATTCAGCGGCTATCGCATCTTTGCCGCTAACAAGGAATTCGAACTCGACGCGGAGATACCGGCCTCTAAGATGCCTGCAATGAACGGAAGCGACGGGTGGGCGGATGAAGGCATGCTGGATGAGGAAGGTTGGGAGACGGTTGTCACCCAGAATCCTAGAGCTCTCTCTGCCAGGTATGCCTGTTTTCCACCCGACCCGGTGGATCCCTGACCACCTGTCACAGAACCAGCATCTCCGATAACCCCATAGTTGACACAGTTTCCGCGTCGACGAGTAAGAAGTTCATACCTCCTACTTCGTTCTATGGGAAATCCGCCCCGAAACCGAAGAAGGGACCTTTGTAAGGAGCGTCCGACGGCCTTGTCCGCGCTAGTGCTAATTGAGTCTTGGTGGCCTTAAAGACACGATCCGGAAGCAGAAGGCGCCTTGGTTATGAAGAATCCCAATAAAGAGCACATCAAGAAGAATAATGCGAAGTGAGATCAGCTTCCGCGCACGCAATGCCAGACTGATCACATCCATAGAGACTTGCCCATAGTACCCGTAGTCTTGGATCCGATCCTAGCCGTTAGACTCAGGCCGCATCAGAAAGAAGGTGAATATTACTATACGCCTGGACTCCATTCCCAGGACGACTCACTTTTTTGCGCACAGGCGTCAAGTTTCTGTATGAATGTGTTATGGGACTGCGCAAGCACGAAGGCCAGGGATGCATATTGGCTGACGAGATGTGCGTCGCCCGATCAATTGCGGTCACAGCATGATTAATCATATCATCACTCTATAGGGGTCTTGGAAAAACTCTGCAGGTATGTCGTGGGGTACGCTGTTACTCATCGTGTGCTTACGTGTGCCCTCAGACCATTGCATTGGTCTGGACTCTCCTTAGTAGGTCGACTCTTTTTATCGAGGATAAAGCGACGCTCGTCGTGACCCGCAATTCACAGAGCAGAATCCGTACGCGGGAGTAGGCCCTGTCATCGGCAAGGCGATGATCGTTTGTCCCGTATCCCTCATCAACGTGCGCTTTCCGCCAGTCTCATCGAATATAGTTTCTAATGACTTGATCAGAATTGGAAGAACGAGTTTCACAAGTGGTGAGCCGTGTTATGGCACACCTAGGTCTTGCATGAGTTTTTTATTGATTTCCATACAAGGCTGGGTAGAGACCGCGTAGGTGTATTTGTCGGCGATAAGGACAAGGCACACATCAAGCAATTCATTAATACGTTCGTGGACATGAGCTTATATAGCACTTGGGTATCTCTTGAGCTTTCCACTTCACGGTAGCCGGATCCACCAAGTTCTCGTCATCGGCTACGAGAAACTAAGGACTGTGATGTGAGTTCTGTCGATATCATATCTGGAACGACCTTGACGGCCATTGTTATGTCCAGTGACGACTTGAGATATTGCAAGTGAGTGAAAATGTCAAAGCAAGCGCACCATCTCTGAACGGCATCTACAGCCCTCCCATTGGGCTGATCATTTGCGATGAAGGTGAGTTGCAGTGTGCTATGCTCGTCTTATGAGCACATGTTAAATTTGACGGTCACAGGACATCGATTGAAGTCGGCGAACAACAAGACCTCTCAGATGTTCAAAGCGCTCAACACGAAGCGACGTGTTATCCTCTCGGGCACACCCATCCAGAATGATCTCAGTGAATTTCATGCTATGGTGCGCGCTCAGATAGACATGAAGCCTGTGCGTCATTGACCTCGTCGCTCAGGCTGATTTCTGTAACCCTGGTCTCCTCGGTATGTATACAATCACTGCAGCATTTCTTCAGACGTCTGAACGATGCTTAACAGATGACTACAAGACGTTCAAACGAGTGTACGAGGTACATAAATGTTGATGCTTAGCCATACTCCTTGCTCAAGCCACGACATCTTCGCCCTTTCTCACAGGATCCCATTCTAAAGAGTCGAGCAGTGGGGTGTACGGCGAAGGAAGCCGAGATAGGAGAAGCGCGGACGACTCAATTGCTCAACGTAGCGAAGAGTTTCGTGCTGCGCCGAGATGCGAGTATTCTCGACAACTATCTTCCGCCCAAGTGTGAGGTTACAACCTCTCGTTCTTCTGAGCCTTCTCTCATCCCCTTTGCTTCCAGGCGAGTATGTGGTATTTGTGACACCGACGCGACTCCAGCTCTCCATATTCTCCCAAATTCTCCGAGCCGACAAATTGGACGACCTCGTTGAGGGCTCCGTGGCCGAGTCGCTGGCGCTCATCAACATGCTGACCAGGGTCAGTACCAGTCCCGTGCTGCTGAAGGCGACCGCGGACCAAGCAAAAAGCAAGTCGATCCAAGCCAATTCCATCAAGAGAAATGCCCTCTACCAAGCTGTTGCTTTGTTACCCGAACGTTTCAAGATCGAGGATGTCTCCCTGAGCGGTTCGTTCTTTCCATGCACGACGAGTTCATCCCGGGTTGTGATGCAGCTCCACAGGCAAGCTTACTGCGTTGGCGTCCCTGCTGAGAATGATTCGTAAACACACTGAAGAGAAATGTATCGTGGTATCGCATTACACCTCAACCTTGCACATCATCGAACAGTTTTGCAAGGTCAAAGGTTACACTTACCTTCGGCTAGACGGGTTAGTCCTCCTTGTGTAATAAGGTGACCTGTACGTTAATCAGTTGTCAGGCAAACGCCCCCCACGAAGCGACAAGAATACGTAAACGAGTTCAACAAGACGAGCCAGTCAGCGAAATGTCAGTCATGCTAGGTCTTGTCAGCACCTGATGACTCATGAACGCACAACATAGTCCTGTTCTTGCTGAGCGCCAAAGCTGGCGGTGTGGGTCTGAATCTCATCGGCGCCTCCCGTCTCTGCCTCATCGATTCGGATTGGAATCCAAGGTCCGGCTGAATCCCGTCTCAAAGGATGTGACGTTACTCATGGCATGTCCTAGTCACGATCTTCAAGCCATGGCTCGCATCCATAGAGATGGGCAGAAACGACCTGTATTCATTTACAGGTTCTTGACCGCGGGAACGATCGACGGTCAGTGGAGCGCATGCGTGATTGATGGTGATCTATGTAATGATATTGACAATGCATTCATACGCAGAGAAAATCTATCAGCGCCAAGTGACGAAACTCGGGCTTAGTGATTGTAAGTCTTTAGGTAACAGTTGATCCGCACGCGATTGTCGCTTACGAACGCCCTCTAGCGCTCATGGGAACGGTTAGTAGTTTTGAGTCCAATGAACGAGTTTTAGCTGATGATCGATCACCATAGGACACTGGCGGTTCTTCGAAGTCGGACTCATTCACCGCCAAGGACGTATGTAACGCCACAACATATCGAAGCTTCTCTCGAGCTGACCTGTGGCTGCAGCTCCGCGACATCTTCCGCGTACATCTGAACACAGCTTGCCACACTCACGAGCTCCTCGACTGCCCGTGTGATCGCGAGGGATCGTCGACCGATCGTGAAGATGACAACGCGGAGTACACCGATGAAGAAGCGGAAAGCACAGCGGAAGAGATGAGCTTCACGCTTGCGTCTCAAATCAAGCCGGGACAATTAAACAGGATGGAGAAGGCCGTGAGTCATATTTCTATGACAACACCTCCAGCTCGGTACCTGAGCATCATCCTTGACAGTACATGGCCAAGAAGAGAGCAGCGCTGGCGGCCCTGGGCGAATGGACGCACATCAACTGTCTGAAGCCCGACGCGCAGGCCAACGTTCACGACGACCTCCTTCGGAAGCTCGTTCGCGCGGCGCAGCCCGAAAAGACCGTGACGGATTCCGTACCAGCCGTATCAGCCAAGAAGTCGCTGCTCGACGTCCTCGACATCGACAACATGGATGCGGAGCGAAACGAGGGTTGCGCAGACCTCAAGAACCTACCTGGCGGTACCGTCTCTTTCCTGTTCGAACGGGTGTCCAAAGATGCTCCTCCTCCGCCCGCAGATGAAGGGGAGACAGGCAATTAGCTGCCGAAGATAGTCTCGCTTCGACGTCGTCATTATCGAAAGCGATCGCGTCCACTTTCCAATTCTTACGTGTCCATCCCGGTTTTAGCTCGATGCATCCGGACTATCCAGAAAGATGATCACAGCACTGTAGAGTACACTCACACAACTTCAGCACCGCTACTTACCAACCCCGGCATCGACACTCAACAATGACGAATGTAGAATAGATGGCATTTATAGACGATCGTTTAATACGTCGTACAAGCAGGACTGTATGCGCGTTTTACCATACACCCGTTGATGGCCATGTGTATCTAGATCTTCGAAGTAATCCTAATCCGTGCCAACTGGGTTCCACGCCACAGCTCCTTCCGGACCCATGTCGAGAGCGTCCAGTCTCGCGAGATCCTCCTTCTCGATGTTGAAGTCGAACACGTCCGCGTTGGCTACTAAGCGCTGCGGCTGCGAGGACTTCGGCAATTCGACCAGCCTGAAGGAAGTGTTAAACCCACCACGCGGCCTGTGAGAGTAATAGGGATTACTCACTCGTGTTGGAGGCCCCATCGAACGAGGATCTGAGCGGGAGATGTTTCGTACTGCAGCGTGTCCATGAGTCGATATCGAGATTCATGAGGATCACTATGACGTTACCTTCCGGGATAATTCGACAAGTACGGGATGGTCCATACGTTTCGCGCGAACGAGGGGCGCGTACGCTTCGACCACTATACCATGCTTCTTGCAGTACTCTACGATGGGTCTTTGTTGGCAGAAGGGGTGAAGCTGTCAACCGGCTGCATGAGATGGGGGGTAAGCTGCGTTAAAGTGATGAGCAGATGTACCTCGATCTGGTTCACGGAAGGGAGTTCGAGTCCGGTATTTTTGATTTCTTCCAGATGCTTCACCCCGCTAAAGAACTACATCAATGATCGGCACAGTTGATTGAGCCTGATGAGGATGCGGACTAGTTAGACACGCCGGCAGTGCGGATTTTCCCTTCTTTCTTAAGATCGAGGAGGGCTTTATACGTCTCGAGGCGACGCTCCTTCCCGGAACGAGGACTATGTATCAGGTATAGGTCGATGTAATCTGTAGAAAGACCGGTCCATCAAAATCCTGAGGTAGAATGATATTCGCAGCGACGTACCGAAAGCGAAGTCGTCCAATGAACCTTGAACGGCCTTCTTCGTGCTCTCATATCCATGGTCCTGATCAAATACTTTCGAAGCTAAACAACGCCGTGTGCCGTCATAATAGACAAGCATAAGATATCATGATGAGTGCTTACTGATGAACACCTCTTCCCTCGGGATCCCGCTCTGACGTACGGCCTCTCCAACCTGCGCCTCATTGCCGTAGTGGCGTGCAGAGTCGATGTGACTGCAGCGAACGCGAACGATCAGTCATAGATGCATGTCGTGATCGAGCATTCATGTCGTACCGATAGCCGTGCTTGAGGGCGGCGAGACAGGTGGCCACGCAGTCATCGGCCAGAGCGACACCGAGTCCCAATACGGGGATCTGATAACCTGGTAGGCGACATTGTAAGCACTGCAGTAGGATCGCGCGGCGTATGCGCACCAGAGGAGAGCTTAAGTGTCTTGACTAGCGATAAAGTCGATGAAGCCATGTCTTCGTCAAATAGCGTCAACGCGGAGGAGCAGGGGTATATGTACGGTAGACCACCGGGGGTATACTTGTATTATAGACTTGACGCCGGAGGGCATCGTAATCGTGCCGCAAGCTCTGGCGTAAGAAGCTCCGATAGCAGGTGTTCTATTCTTGAACAGAGGTTGGTCTAAGGTCCGAGACCGTCAGCGTCCACTCAAGTGGGTCGGCCGACGGTCGTCGCCAAGTTAGGAAAGCAGTCGGCGCGATCACGCGCGCGAGTCACGCGGGTCGCGTCGGGAAAGCGCGTGGTCCTGACTCGCGCCCGCCTCCCGACTGCCGCGCGCCCTCCGCCGCACGGCATCCCCGACGCTATAAATCCGCGCGTCGGTCGTCGTTCCCCGCGCCTCATACCCTTACCCCGACCCTCCACAGCTTACAATCTCGCTTAAGAGAATATGCCGCCGAGAAAGAAAGCTGTCGCCGACGCCAACGGCGGTGCTGCAGATCCCCCTAAAGCCACGCGCTCCAGCGCGCGTGTGAAGGCTGCTGCTGCCGCACCTCCTCCGCCTGTACCCGCTTCGGCGCCTGCGAAACCCAAAGCCTCTGCGAAGGGCAAAGGCAAGGGCAAACGCGCTAGGGACGACGACGACGACGAAGCAGAGAAGGATGCCGACACCAGCGCGCCCGCTCCGAAGAAGACGAGGGGCAAAGCAGCCACTAAGAAAGAAGAAGATGCGAAGGCCGATGGCGACGCAAAGAACGACGCTAAAGACGCGCAGGAGGAGGAAGAGGAAGAGGAAGAAGAGGATAAGCCTGCTCAGATGGTAACCTGAAGTCCTCCGGATGTTGAATGAGCCATGCGCTGAGGCTTTGCTGATATGTTAGAAAACCGTGATCAAGCGAGGTGCAGCTCCTGTGGACGAAATTTCGGGCTTGGTTTGTACGTTCGATTGCCATTCCGTGTGGCGAGCATCGCTGACTGCCACGCAATAGCGACCCATCAAGTGTTCGCAGACGCGGAGGACGTCTGGGACGCGACGCTCAACCAAACGAACATTGGCAAGAACGCAAACAAGTCAGTAACCTTTCCTCGTGTTGCCTCATCTCCTATCTCATTTCTATATCTTCACTCCTGGCTTGGCTTCTGACGAGATTTGAGTTGTACGACGAGCTCACTACATTGGCAGGTTCTATGTTATCCAGCTCCTCCATCCTATCGGCAACCCCGCATCGTGCACGTTGTATACCCGTTGGGGCCGCGTCGGTGAGTCACGAAGACGATTACACCATCAACAAACTACGCGGGATATATGCGCCTTGTATTTGGTGCAACGTGGCGCAAGAGCTAACTTTCTGCCTTTTGTACTTGTAGGTGAGAACGGGCAATCGCAGAAAAAGGTACGTTAACTCATATTTGATAGTTGTACCCATGACTTGGCGACCGACCTAATGTGTAGGGACCATTCCCGGCGCAAAGTGCGAAGAGCGAGTTCAAGAAGCAATTCCGCAACAAGTCGGGCGTCGCTTGGGAGCAGCGCAAGACGGCCAACCCCGTATCCGGGAAGTACTCATGGATCGGTAAGTTCATCCTGCTCACTGTAGTTACAGAATCTTGGTCTTACGAAGCGGACAGCTCGCGATTACGACAACGAGGAGGAAGAGTCCAAAGAGAAACCCAAAAGCAAGAAGGACAAGAAAGAGGGTGAGAAGGAGCAGAAGAAGCTCGAAGTCGCGGATTCTGCCTTGGATCCAGGCGTGCAGGTGATTTCCGTCGCACGCGCCGCATAACTTTATACTTACCACGTTTCTTGTCTAGGCTTTCTGCAAGCTCATTTTCTCTACAAGGTAAGCTGTCGACTTGTGCACCGTTCATTAAGCCAACACAACCGACCAGTTATATCGACGCCACCCTCTCTTCGCTCAACTACGATGCCAACAAGCTTCCTCTCGGCAAACTCGCGAAGTCAACCATCCTCAGAGGTTTTGAGGCGCTCAAGGTGGAGTTTTCTTCGTTCTCTAACATTCGATTCGGCTGACTTGGCATGGATGATCAGGCCCTCTCCGAGGTGATTGACAACCCGGCATGTGCGAGGGCACAGGAGCTAGGTGGCTTCCAGAATGCGTGTCGCGAGCTTAGCGGACGATACTATTCGTACGTGCCGCGTTTCGTTGACCCAGGTTGACCCGGACGTCAGGTTGAACGGTCATCGTCTTCAGTATCATACCGCACGCTTTCGGTCGCCGGACTCCGACCACGATCGATACCAAAGAGCTCCTGAAGCGGGTAAGTAAGCGCGCTTGGGACCTTCTTTTTTCTTTCCCCGCCCGAAACCGCTGACCGCTGACGCGACGTGCGCAGGAACTCGATCTCGTCGACGCCCTGGGCGACATGGAGATCGCCTCCAAGCTCCTCGCCGACGACGCGAACAACAAGCACCTCACGCCCGACGGCACGAAGCTGCTTCACCCGCTCGACGCCCAGTTCGCCGCGCTCGACCTCGCGCGGATGGACCCCGTCGCGGCGGACTCGGGCGAATTCACCGCACTGGCGGCGTACGCACGGGACACGCACGGGCAGACGCACTCGCATTATCAGGTCAAGATCGAGCACGCGTTCAGGGTCGAGAGGTCCGCGTGAACCCCATGCCGTTCGGCGAGATTGCGAGCGGGAAGCTGACGCGGTATACGGATTTGTAGACACGGGGAACCGGACGCGTTCAAGAGCAAGGGGTTCCATGCCCTTCCCGACGGCGAACGCATGCTGCTCTGGCACGGTTCGCGTTCTACGAATTTCGCAGGTATGGATCACGTTGGGGTGTCTTCCCCTTGCCGGTTACTGATACTCTTCGCGCCAGGTATCCTCAAGCAAGGTCTGCGGATTGCGCCTCCAGAAGCACCCGTCTCTGGCTACATGTTCGGCAAAGGCGTGTACTTCGCTGATGTGCGTTGGGTCTTGGCTCCCCTACGATTGAAGCTAATTTTATCTTCGTCTCTCTCGTAGATGATGTCCAAGGCAAGCGCACGCTATCGGATCATGGTTTACGACTTTTACTGACACGTCACCTGCGTTCAGTCCGCAAACTACTGCCACTCCTAGTAAGGCAACTTCCGACTCGTTCAGCTGGACGTCGTGACTGACGCAAGGTTGCAGCTTGAGCGGCGGCATCGGTGTGCTTCTCCTCTGCGAAGTCGCCGCAAAGCCGTTCCACGAGCTCGTCGACGCGGACTACAATGCCGACCAGGGCTGCAAAGCCAACGGCAAACGGTGCGTGGGCTCCACCCCCCCCCCCCTTTCCGCCTGCCCTTGTTCCTCCATGAGAGGGCTGCTCTGTCTGACGTTGCGCTTCTGGTAGATGCACAAAGGGTATCGGCCGCACCCAGCCGGGGGATTGGCAAGATGCGGGCGAGACGTTGGGCTACGACGAGTTGCGCGGGTGTCATATGCCCAAGGGCCCCGGAAAGGATATCGGAGGGACCGCTTACTTGCAATATAATGAGGTGCGTCGCCATACTATTCACGCATTGGCCATCCCATACGCGATAGATGCTTGATCTGTCATAGCGGTCACTGACTATCTTGTTACAGTATATTGTGTATGACCCCGCTCAGATCCGGCTGCGCTACTTATTGATGGTGAAAATGAACTGAGCCGCAACTATCCCTGGCGAGTGCTCGATGTTGTTAACTGGTCATGTTGCTACAATTTTGTTTGCGTATGCCGTACCGATGTTCCGACACTTCAATCCCTATCGTTTAACGTAACCGCTGTCACGAACCTGACTGCAGATACTTGCCCTCGAATGAGTTCGGATTCGGCGCTGACGTGACCTTACCAAACGAGAGTGACCTAACAACCCACAACTTGCAGCTCTCTGTTGTTGACGATGAGCAAGAGAGAAGCATCGGCCTTTCGCTGCCCCCAGTGCGGGGATTGACCGCTGAGTGGTGGATGTGAAGGACAGACACTGCAGGGCGCGAAAGCGATAGACAGTATAGCCCCATGGGGACTTCACTGCTATGCCCTCTGACAAGCTTTACCGGCTCGTCGGAAACGTACAGCACCACCGCGTCTTCGACCGAGCTGACGGTCGGCGGCAGGTCATACACCACCCAGGCGCATTTCTCGTTGTTGCTCGCAGGCTTCCGCACACGGAACGATGGTTGAGACTACGGATATGCAATCGATTTCAGCTTCACCATCTAATCAAGGATGTGCTGGACGTGGTAGTTCATCACCGTATGAGGAAGCACAGCTGTTAGATAACTAAACTTACAGAGATCAACGGTCGCATATACTATGGATGAATAGTGCGTTGGGCGACGGTGCAAAATGTGAAAGCGGAACGAATTACCTATGCAAGCGACAACGCGTACTTTCGGCCTTAGTACTAAGTGGGCATAGTCCGTATCAAAATATGCATGAAAGCCCATGTACGCACGCCGAGCAGATGGGCCTGAAGTCGTCGGCATCCGCATCAGTCATCTTTGGCATCCGCACTGTGTCCGGTGGGTCCGGGAGGGAGCGGAATCGCTTGCCCGGTCTTTGGCATCAGCACCACCCGGAGAAGAGGAGCGTCGTCGAGGAGGCGGGACATGGCGAGGAATTCGTATTGCTACTCTCAACAGTACGTGGCGGATCCGGCACAATCCATACCTGCGTTTCCGAGAGACAATAATGATTCAGATGAGTACGGGAATGAACCAGGATAAACGTCGCGATCAATAGGGGGGCTCAGAGTTGGGATTCTGGCAAGGATTCAAGGACGGATTCAAGAGTCGATTCTGGACGCCGATTCTGGGTGGATTGGTGAAGCGGCTCTGGAGTCGCTTCACTCGATTCGACCAGAGTCCGATTCAGGTTCATCGCGTCGCTGCCTCGGAGTCCGAAACCACTGACGCGTCACGAGGTTTTCCAGGGTCTTCCACCCCCTCGTTCAGGCAATCCTCAACCTGTGTTTTACTCCTTTATATATATGTACTCGCGCAGAGGCTGTCACCAGGACCCTCAACATACCATTGTATCAGCAGTTTATGGGCAGAAGTAGATTGCATTTGGTAGTTCCGCATAGCAACACTCCTGACGCCTATTTAAGCCAATAAATATTTCACTCTTCTGGCTGCAAATAAACCTCGGACATACATTGTCGGACTCGAGCTTAAAACAAAGAAACTCTGTCACTCACGTTATAACTCGACCGTCGCATTCAATTCCAGAGTTTTCGCCACCTCGGATGAGCTGCCGATATGCCGAGCCCGTCGTTAAAACTCAGATGGGCATGCCGCAGTGTCGGCAGGATATTACGTCGTGCACAGAATCGGGCCAGAATCAGTGGTAGAAGCGGGGGGTTCAGAGTTGAAGGTGAGGAGAATCGGATTATGACCGTCGTAGCGACGGCAAAATCGACACAGAATCGACACAGAATCTGGGGCAGAATCGGCGCAGAATCGCCAACTCTGAACCCCCCTAATACGCGTCACACCACGATGGCGTGGGTCACGCACTGACCTGCATCTATGCACCTCCATGGACCAGGCTCACGAATGTGTCTGATACTGTCCCGCTTGCGCTCCACGTCGTTTCAACCCGTACATGACGATCAACCGCTTCTTCCATGTACGCCGGATAAGCTATATCAACGCAGACCGCGAAACGTGAGAGCAGCATGCAAAGCGGTATGAGAACGCCGACGTTAACCTGATTCCATCCCGTTCATGGGCTGATCACGATGTAGCGAATCAGCGATCAACAAGGCGCAGGCGGGAAGACCAAGACAGGCAGCGCGGTTAGCGCTTTACATAGGGGTTCCGGTTCGAGGGGTGCGCTGGGCTGCCGGGAGAGAGGTTTCCAGGCATTCGCGTTGGGACCCATTGTTTGCTGCGCACCCAACGGTTGGGTGCGCAGCAAACAATGGTACACATCTGCGAGGTGTTCCTTATGTTATAAAACTGACAAGTTGGGCACTAGCAGGTCAGAAAGGTTGGACTGCGAGGACACTTTCTACCAGAAGGCGGGGACGAAGTGTGAGCACTTCCACCACACCTCGTCCCGCGATCGCCTTCCGGATCCCGCTTCCCGCCCTCCGCTCGCCGCTACTTCCGCTACCCCTAACATGACATGTAGTTAAATAGGCGGGTGTCCGGTCATCAAGCTTCAGTGCTTCCTGGTTCTAATCCTTCGCGTACACAGTCTTTACACCGCACGCTCCACGCACCACCCACTCTATTCACGATGAACGCCGTCCTTTACAAGATCGCCACCGTGGGCCTCCGCCTCACCCTCCGTCGCGAGAGCGCCAACTTGCGTGTCGTCCAGGAAGATACTCTTATCCTCACCCAGGCCACCCAGGAACCTTCTCTAGCCCAGGAGGAACCTACCATCGCCCACGAGGAGTCCGCCGCTTGCCTCGACGATATCGACGTCGAAGTGCCCACGACCGCCACCGAACTGTCCGCACCGGTCGCCATTGAAGAGCCCAAGCCCGCCGCAGAGGAGCGTCGCGAGGATGTATCCGAGAGCTCGGCAACGAGCGACGAAGAGGCGCAGGTTGCGTCTGCTTCGGCCACCTCGGAGGCCTGCGACACTTCTGCGGAAATGGTCGAGAGCGACAGTTACTCCGCGCCGCGTGCGTCTAATGCCCTCGCACCACAACGTATCGGGATCGCGTCACTCACGTTCTTTCTCTCCAGTCGTTGAAGCGTGGCGCCCGATGGAGCAGAAGGACATCGACAGGCTCCGCCGCCGCCATGGGGATTCGGAGAAATTCTACGAGTGCCTCCAGTGGGAGCTAACCTACGGCGCGTTCCTGTTCCAGCACTTGCAGCCCTCGATCGAGGAATGGGAGGCGCTGCACGAAACCGAGCAATTCCTTCGCAGTAAGTGAACACTCCACCACACACTGGGCGTTTTCGATGAATGTTGCTCACCGACGTATCGGCCGCGTTTTTTTTTTCTTTTTTCTTTTGTATCAAATAGGCATGGAATTCATAGGCGATCGCCGCAACGGTTGCGCGTACAACATCCAGGACCGCGTCCCGCACCCGGACGACCTATACCGACAGTGCCTTTACAAGTGCGCGGTGCTCGACCCCGCGCGCCGGCAGCAGGAAGAGGAAGAGCGAATGAGGACGGACCCCGTCGGCGTCCTGATGGAGGCTATGGAGCACCGCGAGTGGTTGCGCGCGTTGCAGGCCGAGGATGAAAAAACTGGCATCGCCGCGTTGGCCAAGCTCGAACTCTCTTCCTCGACCCGGTACGCCGCCGGCGGGGCTATCAGCAAGGGCCGGCAGGGGCTCAGGAGCGCGTGTGACATGAGTGACGACTTGGAGGAGAGCATGGACGAATACGAGGACGACGAAGATGCGCCGACTGACGCCTCGGAGGTGCTTGATGACGGTCTCAGCGAAGGCCAGCAGGCGCTCAAGGACATGTACGACATGATCGACGGCTACGAGCAGAGCGTGGACGACTATGATGAGGACGAAGATATTTCCGAGGGCCAGCAGACGCTCCACGACATGTACGACATGATCGCCGACTTCCAGAACGACATCGCCGACTATCAGGAGAGCCTCGACTCCGAGCGGGCCTCCCGCGCCAAAACGGCACTCCGCCCGGCCATCGAGCCGGCGAACCACTTCGCCACGCACGCCGCCACCCTCGCCGTCGTCTCGGATAACGCGGACGATTCGCCCCTCAACGGGAGCGACGTCGCTTCTGCTTGCAGGGCTGCCCGCCATTCGCGGCGGCCGTCCACCGTCAACGTCGAGAAGGAGAACGGCGCTCTGGCGTCGCGCATCCCTCGACCCCGCGCTCGGCCTTCGGTTTTATTTTGTGAGTACAGCTTCGAACGTGCAATCACCCACTTGGCGGTGGAACAGGCAGGCTGATCCGTCCGTTTGCTTTTTCCAGAGAGTTTAGTTGGCAAATACGGCCTTAAGCCTTTTGCCTGCCTCCATCGTGGTTTTCCCCATTCCCGGATTTCTATTCTGATCATCTCATCTGTCTCTCTCTCTCTCTCTCGTCTTTCTCGGGGCTCCTCGACCTACAAGATACCCGGATATGGAACAAAGATACCAGGATACGGAATCAAGGACGCTGTAGAATAATAGTATGTAGTATCATCATGCGAACATAATCGTGCATTGTCACAAAATCAAATAAAACCGATTCGTCGCGCGAGTTCTGCCATCCTCATGCAATATGTGAGGTAACGGGACGTCAGAGCCTGGGCCAAGTCGCATAACCAAGTGGGGACATGTATAGATAAAGACCTGCGGTGATATCGATGGACGGGAGAGGGAGAAGGACTGTGACGTCCCCGGGCCGTCGGGCTTCCGGAGACCGCGGCCGGCTCTCCCTGGCTTTCCCTCGTTGAACACCTTCCTGCAGCGCTCGACGTCGCCGGCACCGGTGCTCGACGGATGGCCAGCCAACGCTCGGGCTCGGGAGGGCCGGGGATGCGGGGGCCAGACATACGACACACGTGTGATGCGGGGTAGAAGCTGGGGCTTCGACCCGTGGATCTACCTCGCAATCAAGCTTTCACCAGCGCCAGCCCTGCTTTCTCTAACGCCGCCCTCGCCAGCGTCGCCTCCCGCGCGCCTTCCACACGCAAACCCTGCCTCGCGCCGCGCGTGCTGCAATCGATGGCGACGAAACACCACGTCAAGCGCGTTACGCTGACGTCCAAGAAGAACTGGTGGATGGGTGCGTTTCCCGCATGCCCGTCGTTTCCCCGAGCCGCGAGCGAGACACCGACGCGCGTCTTCCCCCCTCTGCAGTCGAGCTGGACGATGACGACCAGCCGAACACATCCGCCAACTCCTTCTCCTCCAGCGAGGAGACCGCCGTCGCCTTCCCCCCACCCGGTACCGCGCCCGGCTCCCCGCGCACGGGCGACCACCATCCGTCGATGCTCGACCGGCTGCACCACCACCACCGCCTCCCCTCGCGCCAGCCCACGCGCGACGCGAGCCCCGCCCCGCCCGCACCCGAAGCCTTCAACATCCCGCGCCACCCGTCCTCCATCTTCTCCTTCCCCACCCCGACCTCGTACGCGGCCCCGCCCAACCCGACCGCGCACCTCGCGCCCGTCGCGCACGGCTCCGCCTCCGAGCTCTTCAAATGCATCGTCAAAAAGCCCGAGGTCGTCCAGCTCGAGATCAACGGCGAGATGCAGACGAACGCGGGCGACGTGACGACGCAGTTCCTCGCCGAGCTCCGGGTGTACACCCGCGTCGCGCGCCACCGCAACATCGCCGCCTTCCTCGGCTGCCTCGAGGGCGTCGGGATGGTGCTCGAGTGGATCGACGGCCGGACGCTGTACGACGCCCTGCGCGAGGGCGCCCTGCGCCCCGCCAAAAAGGTCGACTACCACAACCAGCTCCTCGACGGCCTCACCCACCTCCACTCCTTCCGCCTCTCCCACGGCGACCTCTCCCTGCTCAACGTCCAGGTCACGCGCGGCGACGACGTCGTCAAGCTCCTCGACTTTGGCCGCTCCGTCTCGGCCGACTCGATGTACGCCTCGCCGGACGACGAGATCCCGCCGGACCCGTTCGCGCCGCACCAGCTCGTGCGCGCCGCGTCGTCGTCGACCCCCTCCTCCTCCGCCGAGCGCACGTCGTTCTTCAAGCCGCACGAGCTGCTGCACAAGGTCGAGATCATCTACCCCGGCACGCGCCCCTTCTCCGCGCCGGAGATACTCCGCGGCGAGTGCGCCGACGCGCTCCTCGCGGACGCGTACGGGTTCGGCATGATCCTCGTCTGCCTCGATCGCGGGACGACGGTGGACGTGAAGCCGTGGGACCAGCGGAAGGATCTGCTCCCGAAGGGGTTCCTGGACGGGCTGGAGGTCTTTGGGGAGCGCGCGGCGTGGTATCTCACCCGGTGGGATCTTCGGAGACCGCTAAGGAAGGAGGACGCGATCCTGTGAATCGAATGGACCGTGTTTTTTCGCGTCTGAACGTCGTCGTCCTTTTTTTTTTTGCACGCTTTTTCAGTTCTATCGCAGGTCCCGTGTCTCGTATTGTAACGCGATGGAGCTCCCGTCCCCCTTCAGGCAAATGTACCACTTAATGCTGTATATTAATCGTAGTCGTATCCACGCTTGTATCGTCTTGCAAACGCATACTTATACGTATATACCCATGCTCACGCGTTCTGATCGAGAGTACAACCGGCCAGGCAAGTAGTACTAAGTAGAGAAGTACTCGCCGGGATAACTCTGAGAGGGTTGATTTAGAGGTGGCAAAACCCGCGAAGCGAACATAACGCGCTCTCACACTCCGTCGGCACGTTCACCGACAACACCGGTCACCGGCAGAGGGTGGTTCAATACAACAATTTCTTCGCCTTTTACTAAGGAATTCCGTGGACCACCCTCAATCCAATGTCGCATAACCAATTTCTCGCTACCTCAGGTTGCCTGAGCCATGTCCCTTTTCGGTCAGACGTTTTCTTTTTCTTTACCTGAATCCTCGCTGTGCTGTCACGCCGTCTGGCCGCCGCCTTAGCCTGGTATGTGCCAGACGACCAGCGACCTCTTTCTGTTCCATTATATATCCACCACTGCCTCAACTTCTATTGCATCGCGACTCCGTAAATGACGTATATGTATGTAGATAGCCCTCAAGGGATATATGTGCCTCGGGAATGTATGTAACATCGTTTCTGGATATCGCGTCCAAGGCTCCGATCCATCCAGCAAACCGACAGCAACAAAATAAGAAAAAAATGATCAACTGCGCTCGGACATGGTCTCCGGGTCCTCTAGGTCGCCCTGGACGATATGTCGCGCCTTGTTTTCGGGATCCGGCGCCGTCTTCGAGAACTCCTCGGGCAACAAGACTGATAGAAACGGGGTAAGTCCCCACCCCCACCCCCGTATAGACGGTAGCACATTCGGAAGACGAGGAAGACTATACTCACTGGCGCGGTCGACGGCTACCGGCAAATCGCGGTGCCGTCCACGGAGCATCACGAGGATCAGGACGAGCTTGGAACCGGTTCGCAGGGCGCCAGAGAAAGAGTAGTTCTCCTGGGTGTATCCTTGAGCGCGAAGGTCGACAAACGAGAAGGGATGAATGATGGCGTACCGTGGGTATTCCCAGTGAAAGCCCGATGGTGCCGTACGCGGAGACGATCTCGAAGAGGACGGTGAACTGGTTAAACCAAAAGTCGTTGCTTGGATCCATGATGTTCGCCCTCTGTCGCAAGGCATGGCACAAGGTCAGCCGAGGGAGCGAGAGAAGCAAACCATACGCGTTGGAGGAACGTGCCTCTATGATGCAGATGATAAGCATGGCTGCCGCCAGCCACCACAAGTCGAAAGAAAGTTGCCGCCGTAAATGCCAGCCGAGATACTTGCTGAACACCTCTCCCTTGGGCTCTTCCGTGTTCTCAGTGTCATCTACCTTGAACACGCCGAGCGAACGTTCCTCGTAGACGTTGGTGGCGCGGATCGACATCGCGATAGGGTACGCGGAGATATACCTATCGTGAGTGATCAGTTGAAGATGAAAATGACATAGCGATGAGCAGCGGCTGACATCATGACCAGATATAACAGCCTCATGGGTTTTCGGTTTGATCAGTGACTTAACATCCGAATGGTAGGTTGCGTACTCACTTCGTGGCCGGCGATAGTGCGTTGAGCGATACGATGGAAAATCCCGAGGCACGGACGCCGAGAGACTGGAACCAACCGGCTAGCACCCGCTGTCCACGAGGCAACGAGTCTGTGACGGGAAGTCCGAGGTCGAAGACGATGAAACCGGCCCATTCAATCGCGCTGCGGGGAGTATCTTAGGTGTTGAATGAAGCAGGGCCCCCGGGCAACTCACGTCAGGAACAAGAAGACGGCCACGAGGAACCACGATTGGTGAGCCGGGAAGAGATAAAGATAGCATCTGTTACGACGTTGAGGAAGGAGCCGAGCTCGAGACATAAGTTACGTCACCTTCGTGGATGATCGAGCAAAAACTGGAGGGCCGCTCTCTCCTGGGACTGGGGCACCAGACGGTAGAGCGCGTACACTGTCCACCGCAAGAAGACGGGCTAGAATATGTTTCAACAAGTATTACGAGGCAACCGGAACGTGATCTCACCATCAAGATGTTCGCCACAATGATCAAAAATCCAAGAATTATGACCAAGGGGAACGCGGGAAGGAACACGCCCATTCCCGCATCCACCAGTGAGAGACCGCCGCCGGTGTATCTGTATGCTTGGTTTTCAGCGATCACGTCGTGAAACATGACGATCTGACTTACGCGGAGAGAACTTGGAAAAACGAGAACCTGTGGCCAAAGAAAGTGAGTATCGGACGTAGCCCACTAGACGCAGAGCCAACCAAGCGATGGGAACTTGACGTGGTTGCGAGTCGAACACCGAGTCATACGTATGCACAGTCTTGAGATAGGCATAGAAGACGATGAAGCAGATGAGCTGTGTCACCACGAAGAACTGGGCGGATCATGAAGGTGAGTTCCGACCGAACACGGGAACAAGCCGGAACAGCGAACGCACGGCAGGCACGAGCCAGGAGAGGATCGTCAGCGCGGTATATTCCACGCCGCCGACCTCTTCGATCTGTTCGTCCGTCAGACCATCCAAATCGAAAAACGAGTTCCGTCCGATCCACATCGAGCCCGACTTGATGTAGTCCTTTACTTTGACGTGTACCTCCTGCGCCGCCTTCTGGAGGTCCGAGAGGTGCATGGACGACGAATCGTCAGACTCAGCCGATCGTCGTGGTCTGAAGGTGTCGACGGCATTCTTTTCCCTCGGTGTGCCATCCTTGCCGAGAGACGACGCCTGCGCGGGGGGCTGCACGATGTGCTCGGGGATCAAGGTGAGCTTTCGCTCGAGCTTGCGGTACGTGTCCGGCGCGTATTTGAGCATCAGGTGTCTGCTGGCTGCGAACGGCCCCGGAAAACCGCCGAAATGCCGTTCCGCGGTAGGGCGACGGCCGCGCGCTTCACCCGAGACGTCGGTCATGCCTCCTGGCGAGAGTGGCGCGCCGTTGTTGAACGTACGGCGGGTCCGGTTCGTGAGGTTGGTGTTCGTGCGACGGACTGGAATGCGACTGCGATTTAGCTCAGGGTGGAAATGCACCTTTGAAAAATACGCATACCGTTCAGGGGCGTAGGTCTCGGTGCGAAAGTGACGGCAGGGGGCGCTTGGGAGGAGTCTATGACGGACATGATGGACGGGGAGTCTGTGCGCTGAAAGGGTTCTCCGTGGGATATTGAGGTCGGGGATGATACTTCGGGCATGTCCTCCCCGGTCAAATTCGTGACCAAGGTCTGACGCTGGCTGGGCACGAGTGTAGTTGTGTTCGATGGGACGACTGTAGAGTGTTTTGTTCAGCACTTTGATTTGCCTAGCACGAGCAGTCCGACGTACCGGAGTCTGGGGGGCCCTGGGTAGGAATATCGGGTTGCGTGCTACTTGGCAGGGCAGGTTGAGATGAGGGGCCGTTCACGACGTCGAGGTCCAGGCGATGTGTTTGGTCGGGACCTCTCATAGACGCGGTCCAAGGGAATACGTCCATGGTCTTGGACCTGAGTTTACCCCAGATGCCTTGGCCGTTCTGTCGCTTTTGCCTGATGAGGTGGACGCATTTGCGCTTGAAATAATGCCTGCCAACGGGTTGAGGTAAATAGAGCAACGCGCTCCACTGAATGGGCGCGTACCTCCTGACCAAGACCATGACCCAGCTCACGAGCGAGTAGTCACCGGTCACCATCAGCCAATATAGTATGGCCTGTTGGAACCCCGTGGTCGTGCTGAGGTTGATCGTGCTGAGGCCCGTCACGGTTTGCGACGAGTAGCACAGGAACAGGGAGTCGACGTAAGATATGTGGTATCGTCCATTAGCCCCCCAGAATATCGCGGACCATATCAAAGGGTGTATAGTGAAGAACGCGAGGTGAATGCGAAAGAAGTTCCATTGGATGTGGGGGAGTCTGAACGACGACAACCGGGGCATCCCAGGACAAGCAGAATTCTAGATAGATAGCAGGATGGGGATACGGCACGAAGAGGAGTTAACTCCAAAAGTCAAAAGGGAATGCCGTGCATGGTCTGGCGAAAAGGCACTGAGGCGAGGCGTGCGCCGTGATGAAGTCCAGCGCTTTCCCTCGCGGGTCTGACGTTACAGCCTCGGCTATTTCTGGAACACCGGCCCCGTCGCGCTCGTTTGCTTCCGCCTTACGTAGGTTATAATGTCAATCAATAGCCTGATGGAGGCCGTTCAACGTTCAACACGCAGAGGCAATCTCCATCCAACATAATCAAGCAGCAGCTCGGGACAGGCGATAGATACACGTTATAACCTAGAGCTCCGTGTGACCTTTATCCAAGCCCACGAGCTCAACGTCGAAGACAAGCGCGGAGTTGGGGGGAATCACGGAGCCGAATCCTCGAGGACCTATAGGCAAATACTGTGTAAAGCCTGGGCCTAACTGCACTGAGTTCGGACGTGGACGGACCGTAAGCCATTTTGGCAGGAATGGTCAAAGTGCGCTTTTCGTTCAGGCACATGTCTTGTAGGCCCTTCTCCCAGCCGGAGATGACCTGACCAGCGCCGACTATTCCAGCGAGTTCAGAAGAGGGTCCCAGATAAAAGAGTACTTGAATAATTACGTCTCAAGGGCAAAGGTGAGTTACGGTCGTGACTGATGTAGGGTACAATCTATCAGCGAAATGCACGCATTATGATTTGCTTGCAGACTCACCTCGAATCGAACTTGTTCCCATTCGAGAACAAGGTGCCCGTCTGTTCAGTCCACCCAGTTCAGGACCTATACATTCGATGAGTCCCCAAACTGCCACGTACGTAGTGCACTCTGATGGTGTCGCCGTTCGCGCTCTTCACCGGGCAGTCCTCAGGAACATAGGTCTTATCAATGACCAGGTCTTCGGGCGGTTGAGGTGCCTCTGCGCTTGCGCCAGCAGCAGCGACGAGCAGACCAGTCAGAAAGGTGAAGAGCTTCATCACGACGGATGAGAAACGCGGAGCGGGAGCTCCACGTCTTCACGCGTCGCGTCTGTTTTCTCACGACTGTAAGTCTTCAACGGCGGACGATACTTACGACGAAGCTACCTACCTTGCCTCCGGTAACTCACAAGCGGACGAGGCCTGCTTTGAATACGTTGGCTTACTGAACTCCGGCGACGTTCAAGCATATGTAGGACACTAGCGATCTCGACGACGTAAACTGCCTTGCCATGCGAGCGTCACCGCAGAGACTATCCCCACAATCAATGCACAGGATACAGTACCCGACGGTACGCGGGAAGCCATGTCTGATGAACCAGACGTCTTTGATGGCGAATTGCTGGTACCCGTCACCGTAGGTATGTTAGTACTTGTGAAGGCCCTGGTGAAGGTCGTCCCCCCGATGACCCTAGTCTCCTCGCAGTTTCCGATATCCGCTGATACGGAGCACGCTACATTGCCCTGATATCCTATCGCTTTGTCGTCCCAGGTCGCGGTGGCGAAGTCGGAGCCTTCCACGAGCGTCACTACCATGACACGAACCCGTTCGTCACGTACGCTACGTCAGTCCGGAGAGGCTCACGCACCAGAGATGGTCTGCAAGCCGTAGCTATCGAATGTAAGTGCCTCTACTATTTCTATGGTTGTATGTCCAGCCTTGTCGATGCCGAGCTCGGTGGTGGAATAGTACTCGGAGCCTTGCGCGAGTGAGCTCGCAAGAGCCACTGATGATTAAGGTGTGTCAGACGATCGAACGATGGACATTGATTTTGCTCTATACCTTGAACACCTATCACAAAGAACGCAAGTATCGGAGATTGCATGATGTACCGAGTGCGTTGGTCAAAAAAATGGTGGGATCACACAGGGTATGTATCTTGCGTAGCTTCCGGAAGTCTTTCGAGCCACGATAAACCGGCAGTGAGCCTTTTTATACTGACAGTGGGTCAAGTATGCAGGCGCAGTACCACAGACCTACTGTATTTGTCTTTTGGGCGTTCGTTTTCATCTACCCCAAGACGCGCTCACCGGTAGATGGATAATCCGCACCCAGATGCGCTCACCGGTTAGCGCATCTTGGGGTAGGGCCGGTGGTACGATGTACGATGGGCGCAGCAATTCACGGGCCGCTTTGATTTCGACAGTTCATGCACATGGGTCCTGGGGCCTGAGTACTGACAGCAGAGTTCCTACTGAGCTTGTCTAGTTGTACAGTGGGTCACCGGTCTTCTAGACACCACCTCTCCTTTAGACAGTGGCTTTTTTCTCAACATTCATTGTTCCGTTGCTCCCCAAACTTTTTATTGAGGTGGAAGTAGTATATCTTGACATTTCTATGTAGTTTTTAGAGCAGTAAGGTTCCTACCCCAAACATGAAAAATCGCAAACAAGGCTGTGGCTGTGTGACACCAATTTTCCTCCATCTCTTGTGCCATGAAAACTAGCTCTATCGATATAAAACTCGAACTGGGTGACTGTCTGGGATGCAAAGTAATATTGTGCTTGTTCCTGTGTCCAATGGATTTCTCTTCGTTGCAGGGAAGGTGTTGCATTCTTCTCATGGCCTGGCAAGCTGCACTAAGTGGCAGTGCCATCTGTTTCCCACATTACCGCAGTCACATCCGTTATCAAGGGAAAGTAACCGTGGGACCCTGTCTAAACGAGTAATAACGGTCAAAATCATTCCCACGCTTCCCATGGCTCCTGGAGTTTTCTTGAAGAAGGATACTGGCTCAAAAAATCCCAGAGAGTATTTCAAAGCATACATCTTTGATGTAACAAGTTCTGGGGAGGGACGGTACTGTGTGAGGGAGTCGGGAGGCCGCACAAGATTTGGCGTCTAAACGACCGCTGTAGAGCCAGAGCTGAAAGCCGACTGCGTAGTCTTTCCAGGAATGGATGCCAAATTCCCGATCGCAAGACGTGCCCAACCTTGCTCGTGGACGGCAAAGGTTCAATTCATGGGTCGCTTCAGAGCGATGCAGGCCGAAGTGGGCCCGGGGAAGCAGCGTGACAACTTGGGTATATACATCGCAGAGCTGCGACGGTACGCCCCGGGGACGATTGGATGTCATTGTAGTCTATTACCTGGATGATTTTGAGGAGCTTTTAAAGCTTTATGTCCCTTGTAAGTTATCCGCGAGCGAACATCTCGGTTGGCGCTCCGCTCGGTAACCGGAGCGAGCCGGGGCACCGGGACATGCCGAGGTCTTGCTTAGTCAGATCTATACAGCACCTCACGCATTCCGCCCTCCCCGCCGACCACGACAACCTCGACGACAAAATGGTATGTTTGCTGCCTCACGTATGCATGATGCTCGGCCAACGATATAATCTTGTTGTAGCCTTCCCAGAAGACGTTCCGCACCAAGCAGAAGCTCGCCAAGGCTGCGCGCCAGAACAGGTGGGTTATCGCTGCTCCTCACTATCGAAAATGTTACTGACCAGGCCTTCCAGGCCCATTCCCCAGTGGTTCAGGTTAAAGACCGACACCAAGATTCAAGTTTGTCCTATCAAAATCACATCTTCAAGACGACATTTGCTGATTCGTTTGCCTTGTGCAGTACAACGCTAAGCGCCGCCACTGGAGGCGCACGAAGCTCAACATCTAAGCCTTCGGCCTGTATATGTATTCCGCTCGACGCTTGGTGCGTCTGGGAGGCTCGTCTCGTTCGCTCCCAAGAGGGCGGACCCGGTGGAGACGAGCGGAAGTGCAACCTGCGTCCGATCTCACAGCATTACACATGCATGTATCCATCGCACACCCATGCCATGCTTTCGAATGACAACCGCATGCAACATTGAATCCTACCGACTGCCTGTTCGAAAACGTGTGTGTGCTTAGGAGGCTAAGTGCGATTGCACCGACCTCAAACTGACGTTCAGCCTGTGTTCATTTCCGCTACTTCCTCAACTCCCCTCATGGTCAACTTGGTTCGCTCGAGTTACCCGCTGGTATTTGGAACAAGGTGCAGCCTTGAGTGTTTTCAGCTGTTGGGCCTTCAGTTCACGCGCGGCATTTTGGGTCGCACGTGGCTATTTGCTTTCCGGCTCTCCCGTTACAGCCTCGATTCGCGGTGGCCTATGGTACGAGACTTACCCGCGTGCCCGGCACGAAGTTGCAAGAAGTCCGGCCGCTTCTCACTTATGCTCGTGCAATTGACGTATTTGTTCCAGGTCCCTATCCGATTTCTGCACGATATCAGGAGATGGGCTAAGCACCATCAAGTATCTGGGTCTACTACTTTCCCCCACATGTCTTCTGGCTGCGCTTGCTCCCTCTGACGGGCGATTGGAGCACAGGGCGGTGCCTACGATGAATGGCCTCGCCAGCTATTGACCCCCCGGAAAGGTTGAGCTCTCATTCGGCGAGAACGAATCAGGCATTCCGCCCTCAGGCGAAGTCACCGTACGCACAGTCCATCGCGATGAAGTCCAGGGTCCAGCCGGCGTTCTGGCTCGTCCGACTGTCCATTGTGAAGTACACGCGGCGTTCCCCGCAATGGTCCTATGACGAGACCGACGGAAGTGGCGTTGAGAACGAGGTAAACACACCGCCCGCATCCTCGACCATCTCACCGTATCGAGTTTCAGGTCGCGATCGCCTATATGCAACACTTCGGTGGGTTATACGAGGTCGCGTGCGCGTCGTGGCACGTTGAGACGAGGGGCGAACGTGCGTTCATATGCACATTGGTTCGAGTGACTTCGCCCACGCTGATTGCTCTCTTTCAGTTCAGCTACGTCAGCTCTGCCGTCACCTCAGAAGCTGGATGCTCGAACTCGAGGTTCTCAGCACGCTCGTATCCTCCTGTCCGTGAAACGAGACACTTGCGCAAGCACCCGCTAACATACTGCTTCATACCACGGGCTCTGCGCAATGCTCCTCCGCTATCACCTAGGACCGTGCTCTCGGGCCTGGACTTGATTGGTCTGTGCGTTGCCGTCTGCCCCCTTGACGTACGCTTGGTCGTCACCTAGCTGCGCCGACCCTTCGCATCGACCCTGCAGGTGTGATGTGTTGAGCCACTATCAGCTCTTGGGCGCAAGAAGCCCCTCGTGCCTGTTCGGGAAAAGCTGGGACGTTCCCATCGGCGCCTTTTTATGGGCTTCCTCTGTCCCCGGCACACCGCGCCGCGCGTTGAACTTAGATCCTGCACCGCGAAGTCAGATCTAACCACGTATTCTATGCTCGAGCAACCTCTGTTTTAAGCCGCGATTATGCCGGTCACACGACAAGTGCGTTTCACCACCCTGTGGTTGCATGCAAGTCCGCGCGGACGATAAGAAGGGGCTCGCGCTGGCCGGTGGTCCTGCAACCCGCTCGACGATCGCCACACCCCTCCAATCCTGGTATATCTTCAGAGGCATAAACTGCTCACCGTCCCCCAAGCCCCACTCGCACAAGCACCTCACATCTTGTCCGTAACTTTACCGCCTTCCTACCCTCATGCATATTCACTGAATTTGTCCCCGTAGTTCTTCGCCTCCCCCGCATTCGCAGGATCAAGATCATGGGTGCCTCCGCCTTCCCCCCCGAATGCGTCCCCTTCTGTGCCTCTCAAGCACGCGAGGTCAACCCTGCGGAACTCGTCGGCAAGACCGTTCGCTCTATCCGGCCAGGTCCTACCGCCGACGCGCCGCACACCGTCTCATTCCTGTGCTCGGACGGCTCCGAGTTCGAGGTCCGGGTCGCCGGACTTTCCTCTACGTCGGAGACGTACATCGAGTACGCAATCCGCGACGCCGATGTCAGAGGCCGCCGCATCACCGGCTGCTCGCTCATGCGATGCGCGGTCAAGGACGATGACGATTCCGACGACGGCAAGTTCAGCCCTGCCCGCGTGCCCGCGCTGGGCATATCCTCCTCGCCCAAGCACATCGCGCTTGGAATCAAGTTCGAGGGTTCGAACCGGTGGCACGTCCTCGAAGGATACGAGAGCGACTGGGACTCGGACAGCGATTGCATAGACGCTTCGGAGTATCGCCGAGTCTACATCGTGCGGAGCGCAGGTCGCCGCCGCTCGACCCTATTCCGCAGGGTGACCGGTAGCTCTTCGATTTCTTCAGGTTCATCTACTTCGGTGAGTTACCTCGTTGACTTCACCTGGCCAACACTGACCCTCTTTCTCAGCAATGAGTTCACCTTCATCTGCAATCCCCGAACGGCAATTGCTTGTATCGTTATACCCATCATCGCGGCGGATCATATATCATGGTGTATTTCATAGTATCTATTGTACATTGCCGGTGGCAGCCCCTTCGATCCGTACGAGAAATGGAAGACCCGTCGGAATCGCTTTGAGAATGACGCGCTCAGGGTCCAGACGTGAAAACTGCCGACCTTGAACTCGCCCGGAACCGCAGGCTGGAGGCACGAGCTGAGACTCGCGACGGGAGCTCCTTACTCGGACCGGATGTCAGGTTGCATGTAGTTCCGATGCGGTTGAGGGAGAACGTCGGACGCAGCGAGCGCTTCCAGTGGCGACGGTTTGTGCAGATCTTCAGGGCTCGACCCGGACTCTTCGGTCCCCGACGTTTCGACGTCGTCACGTTTCCAGTCATGAGAACCGCTCTGACGCCCGCCCCCGGGAGTGACCGTGTCCATGATACCGATCGTGCTGTTATTCGAGTCGTCATCGTCGTGCGACTCGGCGTAGGAGGGCCCGCGGTATGAGGCGGTCTCGCGGTTATGCTTGCCTGCGCCCTCGTTTTGCGACGGAGGAAGGCGTTCGTAACTGGGGCCAGGCGGGGTCATCGCCGGGGGATTCATGGGATTCTTGTCGTCTACGGTGCTACGGGACCACTCGATGTGGTGCTTGGCGTTGACGTAGTCCGGCGGGTGACTATGGACGTCCGTTCCAGTGGGATGCGCGACCTTGCCGTCGCGGACATGCTCGGTGCGCATGCGTAGTTTAGGTATCGTCGAGGATGCGACTTCGCGGGTTACCATCGCGTCGGCAGCAAGGGGACGGGAGTGACGTCGATGATGTTGGGTTAGCGAAGATCTGGTAGAATCGAAGGTATGTCCGTTTGCAGCGTTGGCTGTGACCGCCATCGCAAGAATCAGCGCAGGACCGATTATGCGGACCATTATAAAGGATAGGTGGCGACCAAGCTCGGTGGTAGTCTGTGGTGTGTGGATGTACACGACCGTGAGCTGGAACCGGCACCTTATAAGCAACTTCTCCAGCTTGACACCTGTCCATCCAGGTTGGCATTTATCGCTTGTCGTTACCTGTTCCTCAAGTCTGGAGCCGGTGCATGACACAACCAAGCGTCATGCATTGTTCGTAGAATCATTATAGTAATACACGAGCATAAGCGCCTGTGAAGAACAGACAGACAACTCATGATACACACCGATACCCATTCTTTACTTTTTCTCCACACCCTTCAATCGGTCCTCCACCAAAGACTGGAACTCTTCCCTCAGGATGGCTTCCCTCCTCTCCCGCTCCTCTTTCTGCAATTTCAGGATACCGCGCTTCTCTTCTGCACTGATAACCTGGTTCTCCTTCCGGATACGCACGGCGTTCATGCGCCTATGCCTGCTGCCGCTCATTACGTATCCCACTTGCTCGTACTTCTCGATTTCGTCCGACGTCAAGCCAATTTCACCACGACGCGGGATGCGCGCCTCTGTACCGTCCTGGAGGAAGGCAGCCATCGCGCTGCCCTCTCCGCGAAGGAGGGCGCCGCCGTATTGGCGCTCGTCGACCCGTTGCTTGCCCGTTCCCGCTTTTTGCAATGGCTTCGGGCCCACATCGTCGTCGTCCGAGTCCTCTTCCGCGTTGTGTGCAGGAGCCTGAGACGCCGCACGTGAAGTAGTGCCATGCCTAGATACTGGAGGCGCAGTTGCCGCGAGGATGGACGTAGATGGCTTTTCGACCCACTCGTCCTCGTCGGCAGGAGGGGTGGGGGTTCGAGGAGATCGGCTCGCGCTTCGCGTAGGGCTTTTCGTTTTCTTGCGATGCGAGTGTTCGCGACTACGTGTGCGGTGGCGCCTTTCCCTGCGGTCCTCCTCCTCGCTGTCATAGCTGCGGCGTTCGCTCCGCGACCTTGTCCGGCGCTTCTTGCGCTCCCGCCGCTCCGCTTTCTCCTGCTCCTTCTCTCTCTTCGCTCGTTTCTTCTCTTTCTTCTTCTTCTTCCGACGTTCTTCCTCCGAATCGGTGTCGGACGGTGTTTCCGACCGTAATCGTGCTCGTTTGCTTTTTCTTCGGGATTTGTGGCCTCTGTCTGAATCGGTAGACCTGTATATTGTCAGTACATTTTGTTGTAGTAAGATGACTTGACGTACGGGCTCCTGGGAGGCTTGGGAGATCGTGGCCAAATGTTTACTGTGGTTACGTCCCTCTGCTGTCGACGACTGAAGGAAAGGTCTATCAGACACACGAACTCGATTTAACAACAGCGAAATATAAACCTATCAAAGAAGTCAGATCCTCCCCCTCCTCCATGAACAGGCAATGGTTGCCGTTCGCCTCTGCTTGGGTACATGTTCTGTTGCTGCCTCCATGGCGCTGCGCCCTCCGTCTGACGGGGCGGGCTGGGGCGTCTATATGCATCGTATTCAGGGCTCCTTCGCCCCTCTCTACTTCTGCTTCGTCGCTGCGGCCTGTCGTCTCGTCGGTGATCACGATCCCGACTTCTGCTACGGCTCGGCGTACGCCTCGAACGTCGAGGTGACGGAGAGCGGCCGCGTCTGCTGTCCCGACCGTAGAATTCTTTTGGGTCTTGAGGGACAAGACCCATGCGTGAAGGGTGCACGGTCGCCATCGTCAGTATCTGGTCGGCGCAAACGACTGAGTCGAGCAAGGCGGCCGCGGTGGCACAAGCGAAGCGGCGGTGACGCGGGCACAGCTCTGACAGAGGGTTGACGAGTCCTCCCACTAAGCTTTCCCAATGTTCTGACTCAACGGGCTATCAACGCTGAATCAGTCAAGTAGTTTGGTATAAGAGCCATGTCAGGTCTACTTGGGTCCACGATAGGACTCCGGCGACTGTGCCCACGTATACGGTCATTTGGACACGAAGCCATGGCGTCCGACTTGCATCTCCTAGTCGTTGGTCTCGGCAATGCGCCCCTTCCCAATACGCGGCACAGGTACGTGAAGGTCCTCTTGCGCGAATATATCGCCTTACGATATCTATCCTTAGCGTCGGTCACGTTGTTATCGACTCTCTGGCGTCTCGAATGGGTCTGCGCCTTTCCTATGACCGTTCTATGGGCGGCACATATGGCACCACCACTGTCATGCTCGGTCAGGTGCCAACTACTGTGACCCTCTTGAAGCCCAGTAAGTCTTCTCTTATTTATATTATGAGCACCCGACGCTGACGTCGCGCGGTTCGCAGAGAACTTGATGAACATACTCGGGCCAGACGTGGCCACAGCGCTCAGGAAGACGTGCATGCTCCCCTCCGGCAATCTCGTCGTCATACACGATTCAATAGAGCACAAGGCACAGACAGTGTCTTACAAGACGGGCGGATCCGCAAACGGACACAATGGCGTTCGGAGCGTCATCACCGCTTTGGGCCACAAGCAGGAGTTTCACCGAATACGTATCGGGATAGGACGCGAAAGGTCTGACCCGGCGAAATACGTGTTGGGACCCTTATCTGCGGAAGAGCGTCTATTCTGGGGGTCGTCGGGTCACGGTACGGACCTTGTCTGGAAGCAGCTCGAATTTGTCGCGCGACAGCAAGGCAAGCAACAGGGGTGAAGAACGCATCATACTTTCCATACGGCCGCTATGGGTACACCAACCATACGCGGTTCTGCTGTCCGTCGCTGGCCACATTTCGCAACTGCGTGAGATGCTCGATGCTGATACACCGTTGCCATATCCGGCACCTTCCCGGTCTTTCTCCGCTCAAACCGACCCAGATCAACTCTGGCCGTCGCTCGACCATCAGAGAAGGCCGTCTTCGAACGCGATGCAGCGCGCTTCCGCCCGCCCGCCGCATCGGCCAAACAAATGTAAATAACGCGAACGTCACGAGGGTCGCGCTTCGGCGCCTTCGTCGACGCAAATGCATATGGGAGCCGCATGGCCCCGCGCACTTCCCGCCGCGCTCGCCGTGGTTCGCGACGTCCGCGGTTCCTTAAGTATCGCGTGCCGCTGTCTCCCCGGGGTTGACGCGAAGACTGTCCCCGGGTCTCAACTCTAATCCCTCATCGACCGCACTGGGCCAGCGAGAGTTCAGCGATGGCGATACTTCGTGCAAGAACGGCGTTGGCCGCAGCCTTGGCAGCTTCGACTGCCATAGTCAGCGCTCAGCCTTCTCCCGAAGTGCAGAAGAGGATCTCCCAGGCAATCGAGAACGCGGCGAACGAGACGACGATTGACTACACCTCTTTCGTCAACGTTTTCATCGGTTCGCTTCCGCCTGTACCGGAACCTCAGTTTCTGTACTTATGAGATTGTGTATTGTCACGTAGGCACAGGTGTGGCGAATGCTTGAGAATGCGTCCCTTATGATTGACTATGACCGTTACGACACCCGCTAGATAATTTCGGGGATGTCTGGTAAGCAGCGGGCATACGACTCTCATTTGGAAGCCTGATCCAATGCCTTGCCCAGTCCCGGCGCATCCATACCCTTTGGGATGGCAAGTCAAGCTGATCAAAAAAAGCTTGAGAATACGATCTGAAGTCCAAATCCTGACAGGTTAAGTTCTCCACCGACCTTACAGGATATGCACCTGCGGGTGAGGAGACTCGAGAACACTTTCCGCGCAAGTTTCTCACATCGCGTTAAGGTTACATCACCGACCCAACACAGAAGATTCGCGGTCTCTCCCCTCTCCATGATTCCGGAACCGGTTCCTCCTTGGGTAACTCTATCCGACTGAGCATGGGAAGTGTCTGATTGTGTGCAAAGGAACTTATGGCAACTTCGAGATCATGCCTTTGTTGTGCCCCAAAGGGTAAGCTTTCAGCCAATCACCTTGTTTTGGTGCACAAGGTGGAGCTAATCTCGTCCTTGCAGATTCGATACGTGCACCACAAGATTGAACGCTCGAGAAAGGTGCGTCCTGAAATCACCAGCAATGATATGTGATGTGCTCAAAGACCATCAGATTCCGCAAGAACAACACCGATGGTTGTTTTCGATCCCATGCCACAAAGACATTCCTAATAGCGATCCGTTACAGATGCGTCCCCTGGATACTTCTCCCAAACGATGGACAACGATCTCAAAATGGAAGCCACCTCTACTCGTCGCGCTGGTCTCGAACGGTTCACCTTCCCCAAGGGATCAGGGACACCTTACTTCGTACTGGATTTGGCGAACGACCTTCCAGGGTCCTTTGCAGGAGGTAACTTGACCATCGACCCCGATGCAGGTCGTATCACCATTGGTGGACATTGGGGTTCTAGGCATGCTGATCTGCCTCCTCGGCACACGCCCAATCCTGACGATATTGTCTAGTTTCGGACCAGGGAACTTTCATTACCAGGCCTTTGCTTGCTATGACCTGCTTAATAATGGGAAACAGACATTGAAGGAATACGGCGTCTGGACCGGCGACGACTATGGCCTCGATGCCAAAGGTCTGGGGATGACACACCTCAACCTTTCGCAGAACCTCATTGGCGGCCCACCGTACGAGTCGGGGGCACTATTCTCCTTCGATCATGAACCCTCCGAAGTCATCATTCGTGTGGGTGTCTCATTCGTGTCGGCCGATCAGGCGTGCCAAAACGCCGAGCAAGAGGTCGGAACGTCCTCGTTCGACGACATCGTGGCGCAGTCGAAAGCGCTCTGGAACGAAAAGCTGAGTAAGATCGAGATTGACGTTGCGCACACGCCTCCGAACGTCACCGAACTGTTGTACTCGTCGCTTTACCGGTCATTCCTGACGCCGGTACGTGTCATATGTCGGTGAGGGTTCCTCCTCCCTTGCTTACCTCGGTGATAGAACAACGCCACCGGCGAGACGCAAGGAGTCTTCGCCGGCACATCTTCCTTCTACTTTGACTCTCTGTACTGCAGCTGGGATACCGTAAGGGTGTTTCCAATCCGCGTAGCGGTATCGTCTGATCAGATGAGCTAGTTCCGGACCTTCTACCCGCTGCTATCCCTACACTCTCCCGTCGAGTTCGCGCAGATTGTTGACAACTATATCGACGGGTACCGCAAGATGGGATGGATGCCCGAGTGCCGAGCCAACAACCTCCCAGGATGGACCCAAGGCGGTGCGTAAACGGATATTTTTTCGGATCTCCTCTCGAGATTGACGATGCTCGCGACGCAGGCAGCAGCGCGGATAACATTGTAGCCCAGTTCGCCGTAAGCTATCACAACGAAGCGGCTGCCCTTGGCATCGACCTGCAGGAGCTATACGCAGCGCAAGTTGCCGACGGACAGGTCAATCCACCAGAGTGGAATACCCTGGGTCGTCAGGTGAACGTATACAAGTGAGTTTAGACTCCCCCTGCATGCCTCTCAAAGGCTAATCCACTTGACATTAGACAATGTATGGCCCGATGGTGCAACAAGGAACGTGACTCTAGAAACTGATCGACGTCTCTAGATGGTTACGTGCCGTTTGCAGTGTTAGACACCGAGTCCACGGGAAGACAAACAAGAGAAGGTAGTAGAACGGTGGAGGTGTGTACCTTTCTCCTCAGGTCACTTACGCGATTTCAACTGATGCACGTTCAGTACGCCTTCGAGGATTTCGGAATACGGCAGGTTGCTCAGTTGTTGAACAAAACCGATGATGTAGCGTATTACACCAACCGATCCTTCGTGGGTGATCCAGTTATCTACGCCTGCGCTGTTGTTCATCCCACTTTCGCTTGCAGAACTACCGCAATGTTTGGGACCCTACGGTTAAGAGCAATGGATTCAAAGGTGGCGGCACTCTCGTATTCAGGCAACGATCGACTCACCGAGCATTCGTGCTTCTGTCAGGTTTCCTTCAAAAACGATACGCCGACGGAAAATTCAACTTCACCGATCCTACACATTGCTCGCCTGTCGACGATGTGACTACAGAGTGCTCCCTCCAGCAGGATAATACGAACGGCTTCTACGAATCATCTTCGTGGGAGTACAGTTGGTTCGTGCCGTGATCTATGAACGAAAATCCCCTTCACTCAGATGCTGTGACGATAGGTTCGCCCCGCACGACACAGCACATCTCGTTCAGTTGATGGGCGGAAATGTACGATGTGCTGCCATGCCGGGTCCGACTTGGAGACTGACGTTGTCTCGGCATCCCTCAGTCGACGTTCCTCGACAGATTAGACCACTTTTTTGAAGCCGGCTATTACGAAGCCGGTAGGTCTGCCTTCTTTCCTCCTATTCACACTTGTTGAATTGTAGGAAGGCAACGAGCCGTCATTCCAGACACCTATAGGATACCATTACGCGAACAAGCCAGCACGCTCGGTGGATCGTGTTCGCGACGTGGTGTTCTCCAACTTTGACATCAGTAAGCTCGCATCATCTCTTGTAGACACCGTTGACTGACACGAATATCACAGCACCCGGTGGTTTGCCAGGAAACGACGATCAGGCAAGGATCATGTTGGAGCTAGCTAACATATATGGTATTAACAGGTTTATTGCAGGCTGCGATGGCGACCTTGCTCTCCTGGCACCTCCTCGGCATGTACCCCGTGCCGTCCAGCACCGAGATCCTCATCCTGTCGCCGTTCACCCCGAAGTTCACCATCCACAACAGCTACCTCGGCGTTTCCACTACGGTCAACGTCGTCAACTTCGATCCCAAGTCCGTGAACGGTACGATCCCCAAGGGCGCCTCCGCATACGTTGAAAAGGTCACCGTGAACGGCGTCGAAACTGAGAGCAGGTGCCACTTCGACTTTTATGACACCTTCCGCGCCGGGGCCAACATCACGATCACGCTCACTGCCGACAAGGATAACGTTGATGACTGTGCAGGCAGCTTGCCGGAGAGCTTATCGACAGGCGGATTTGCGAGCGCGAGGTGAGAACTGAGATCAAAGGACGCTATTGAGACTACTGGGTATGTAGATAGAGATATGATTATGTGCCCCGAGCACTGTTCCGCGAATCTAAGGTGCCGAACGCGCAGCTCTACGTGTATAAATCGTACAGTCGATATAGGTATTCCAGCCATCAGTCTGTCAAAAGACTCGTTCACCACTCGATAACTTCCGGGAAAAACTTGGCGATGAGGCCCTCGTAGTACGGCCGGAGCTTGACGGGATCCACAGCTTCGTCGCTCTTGCTGTACAGGTCGTACGGGTTGAAGGCCTTGACTGCATCGAGGGCACGTTTGTCTGCCTCGTTGCACAGGTGCTGATACGCCCCTTCCCGATGCCACCTTTTAGATGCAGTTACATCAGTGCTCTTCTCCGATACCAGAAGTGATGTGATGATACATACGGGTAGAAGCTGTGGTAGCGGATCATATGCAGCCCGTCCTCGGGCAGGGTGCTTTGATCCTTCAGAACGTGATATAGGTACTCGTCGTGGCCCCATGAGATCATGACGTTGTCGAGGCCGCAGTGGGGCTTGTACACGCCGTACTCGCTGGAGTAAACGGGATCCTTAAAGTCGGGGTTGCCGGCAAACGTCTCAGGGTAGATGATTTTGTCGGAGAAAGCACAGCCGACGACGAAGGTGTCCTAAAGGGGGCGTTAACGCATGCTCTTGTTGTCAGGGGCCGGAATCACGTACACCAACAACATCCCACTGGCCTCTGACAAGGCGAATTAGACGAGCGAAACAAGACGCAGCAGACGCGTATACTCACTCGGACCCGAAGAAGTACAGCAACTTGCCGAGGTCATGGACCAATCCAACAACCTGAGCACCGGTGAGGGGTGGCGCCGATCGCCATCACTTACACACACTGACCTGCATCCAGTCGGGCTTGCCGTCGCGTCGGATGGCCTCGGCGGTCTGAAGGAGATGTTCGATCTGGGACAAGTCGGTCTGCACAGGGTTCCCGGTCAGCTCTCAGGTGCACAAATGGAGAGACGGCAATCATATATGCTCACATCCGGGTCAGAATCGTCGATGAGCGTATTGAGCTTCTCCATGGCCTCCCAAATCCCTGCGCGGGTATTGTTAATCTCCGCGATCGCATTGGTTGGTGGTGACGTACCCATGCGCGCCCGAACCTCCTTACGGAAGTTCACTCGGGCGTTGATGTTGAATTCCACAGTCTGCCTTTCTGTGGTAGGGAGAGATAGATGAATCCTTTGGCTCGTTGGCGATAGATGGATTCCACGCACCGTGTTGCTCCTTGTAGAAGTTCTTCACGCGCAAGCAGGCATCCTCGTACTGGCGGAACTGCGTCTTGTCCTTCTCCGCGTCGAACTGCGACTGCGCATCCCATTTGGGCGCGTTCTCTCCCTTCAGCTTGTTCACTGCATCGTCATCTTTGGTCATTACCCAGCACTAGTGCACACGGTGGACTCTACGAGCAACTCACCCTGATCGACGGCGTCAGAGATGGCTTCGAGCTCTTGCCCGCCTTGCGCGATGAGTTCAGGAGCGCGCATGTGGAATGGACGAAATCGACAAGAGGTTCAGTGATAGTGAGAGTCCAAGGGTGGGATAATGAGGTGCGGACAGCGGGGGATCAGTGAAAAAATCGGGTGAGGTGAAACCTGAGTGCCCCTGGTTTATATATGGCAAATATCATAATGTGGGGTACACCGCTACGCGTCGGCGCCCTGGTGATATGGCACGCCAAGTGGAGCTGAGGCGCGTTCAGACCGGCGGCACGGGCAAGCCAGGGTGTTCCGGACATCTCGGACCGGAGCAAGCGGGCAGCAGGGCACGCTCGTGATTCGAGCCCTCTGCAAGCTTTCTAAGGGAGCGTATACGACGGTTGTTGATCATCTCCGATCGCCGTACGGCGTTCCACTACCTCTTAAGACAAACGCTACCCACAGCTATACGCCCAGCTCTTCCGCTCCGAGGAGAACCAATGAGAACGATCTCCGACTGAACTGCAAAACGAGCCTTCCCGGTATCTAGCTTCGCCTGCAGACCTCGCCCCTGACATCAGGTGTCCTTCCAAACAAGACAGGCCTTGCGACCCCCAATCTGTGGGGACGTGTTCTGTGAGTCTTGACCATCACGACACGTCCGCAATGAGCTCCGTCTGAACATATGCGAAGTCCTGATAAACCACGCTTTCAGTCCTCGTGCACATCGCAGAAGATAGCCGTACGGACCGCAGGTACGAGCATCGGCAGCGAGTTCCCGGTCGAATACACGCCAAAGTGTGCACCCGTGAACACCTGCCAGCCAGGCAAGAAGGCCTGTAACCACTGGCTGGCCAACGTCGCGACGTACGTCGGTTCCTCGTCCCCGACAACCGCGTATCCCAGCGAATAGCTGTCCCTCTCCGCCTTGATGAACAACCGCACGCTGCCCGTGCTGGGTATGTCGTAATAAGTCTGGTTGAGCGTCGCCTCCGGTCCGGTACGCGTCTGCGCCGTCACGACGCGCCGGGAGGTGTCGTTCGGGTGGAGCGTGACCGCGATCTCGTTGTGGTACGAGATGGAGAGGAAGACCGTCGCGCCGGCCTCGTGCAGGGGCGAGGTGGGCTGAAAGTCCAGCTCGGTGCTCCAGACGGTCTCGAGGTCGACTTGTTTGCGGAAGAAGGCGGCGGGAGTGTCTCGGTCGGAGAGCATGTAAGGGTTTCCGCGGAGACGCAGGTATCCATGTCGAGCGCCAAAAGAATGGAACGCCTTGTACGGTGTGCGTTGGGTGTAATAACCTGCAGACCGACCCTGATCAGTTCGTGGTCTCCAAAGATTATGACGCGAAAACCTTTACCCTTATCGGCGAAGTTCCCATTGAACTCGTCCCGCCAGAGAGGGGGCCTGGCCAAATTATAGAGACCAGGCATCTCGAACGTGATAGGTTGACCACGATTCACAACCGGCCATCCATCCTCCCAGGTCACGGGTGCCAGGAACGTTTCGCGATTGAGCTGCGGCACCCCGGACGCGTTCCGGGGATTCTGCGGGCGGATGCCCAGGAAGACCATGTACCACTCTCCCTCCGGCGTTTCGACGAGATCGCCGTGTCCGGTCGCGAGGATCGGAAGCGACGTGTTACGTCCTGTTCACGTAATCGTCCGGTCAGCCGGGGTAGTCTGAATGACAATCGTAGAACCGCGGACCGTTGAACAGGATCGGGTTGTTGGGATTCTCTTCCCAAGGCCCTTTGATCGACTTGGCCCGCATGATCATCTCGCGGTGCTGCACTCCCGTCCCGGCCTCCGCGGTCATGCAGTAGTACCATCCGTCCTTCTTGAATATATGGGCACCCTCCGCCAGACGGGGCGTGTCCAAGGGCAAGGTGCTGACGTGCAGCACCTCCGATTCGACGAGGGAGTCGCCCGTCTCGATGTCGATCTCGGTGATCCAGATGGCGAAGTAGCCCGAGTCGGGTATCTGAGGGGCCCCCAGGGCGGTGGTCAGGTAGATCTTGTCGTCGTCGTCGAAGAACAGGTCGGGGTCGAAGCCGGGTTGGTCGACGTACGTCGGATCGCTCCAACTGTTTTCGTCCCAAATATTCGTGGTGTGGACAAACATCGATCGCGGCGTTTTCGTGGTCTTGAGTATCGATGAATGAGCAAAAGCAACAGCAACGGAGCTGCAAACGGGCTCACGTTCTGCGGTCAACCCGTTAGCATGTACGCGACGCAGGAAGCAACACAGAGACTTGCATCTGGAGGATTGATGACGTCGAACCACGTCGTTATGGCGTAAAACGTCTTCGTCTTCTCGTGGTATCGTAGCGCGTTAGCGAACAAGCCGCCGCTTGGCGCAGTCCCTCGCATGTCGAGCTGAGATGGGCGGGTATAGACGTGCCCGATTACATTCCATTTAATCCTACAAAGACCTGCATTCGGGTTACGCGTCTGCTCGAAAGAGAATGCGACGCACAGGTCTTTTGAGTGGTAAACAGGCGTTCCAGGAAACCATTCGAAGGAAGATGTCGCCAGAAAGTAGTCGTCACCCACGCGTACGATTGTAGGATCCTTGAATGCGAGTATCGTGGTCAGTTTGCCTCTCTTTGCTAACTTTTTGCCAGTGTTTGTGCGTCATACCGGATTGAAACCAGGGATGATAGGGTTACGAAAAGAACTCGCCATGCCTGATCAGTCCGTGTGTCAGAGAACTACATTCGACGCAAGCACAAACCATGTCTCATACCTGCGAAAACGAGCAACAGAAAGCCCCAGAAGAGACCGAGCATGATCGAAAGCAGTCAATGATGACGCCGGGCCGCCGTCGACGCTCTGGTATTTGAACCATTTGGATAGGCTCGGACGAATGTCGGATGAGTATCAGGTGACGGCGAGGACACCCCATCTGTCGGGCAGAGACCGCGGGCTTTCGCCTCCGCGGTAGTGAGTCTGTGCAAGCATATACAAATGGGCCATCAAGGTATGTAGTTAGGTTGGGGTAGCTGAGCGACATGGCACCTTTATGTTTGTTGTGGCTTGTTGACCTGACCGTATCACGATTCTGGCAACAGTCATGTTCAACAGTGCTCCGTATACAAATGGTGTAGTAGTATCATACGATTACAATTCATCAGCCCTAGACAAGCACAGATAGCAAGACGTCGCAAGAAAGACAGCAAGGAATAAGAATCTTGAAGGGAAGCGAGCCGACCGTTACATATGACTTGATCGTTAGGTCGTGGTGAAATAACGTGCAGGGAGCGTGTCCATCGTCATGGACGTGAGCGCAGGTTATGTTAGAAGATGGAATGGACGCGGTCGTAAGACACCGGAGAACGCTTTCAGCTAGCACTCGCCGAGACAGCGGCTTGCTGTCCGGGCATAGGGATCATGAGCTCTCCGGGATTGAATTGGTTCACATTCACAGGGATCCTGAGCCTGATGAAGTGCTAGTCAGTAAAGGGCGAGATAGCTGGGGAGCAATATTCAAGCTCACTTTTGTAAATGGCCAAGGATCGCCGTCTTCAGGACTGGGATCTTGCCCACGCTGTGGTTGCCCCTGCCCACGATCACCCTCAACTCCGATGCACCGCCTTCATAGGCCGACCGAAGGGCGAGCTCCGTTCGCTTTACAGCTTCAGGAACTTTCAGCCTGTGAACATCGATGACCTGCGGGGTTCCCCGCAAATTGTGAGCTGAAGACCGGAACAAGCGCATCAGTAAGGTTGAACCCATGCACTACGTTGCAGGCCGCTCACCGCGAAAATATCGTCTCGCCGCCCTCTCGTGCAACTTCTTGACCCGCTGCTCCACCTCATCATGCTTCAACTTGAGCATCAGTGCCTCCCAATGCCTGCCCTCCGCCTCTGCCTTATATCGCGCTTGCGCTAGGCTGGTCCTCTCTTCCTCCGCTTCGTCCGCTTGTTGACGGAGTGCATCAGCGCGGTCAATGATGGAGTTGCGCGATGCGCCAGATATGACAGACATGCCGTCGTCTGACAGAGCTTTTGCCTCCTCCATAGTGTCCTTCCCCAGGGGTTGGAGAACCGGAGAATAAGGGTCCGTGACGACATTGTCGAGCGCCATAGACTGGTATCTTGGCGGAGGCTGCGACCATCGTGACGAAGACGGCCCGGCTTCAGAGGCCGGAGGCGGAGTCCCTGAGGTAGGCGCAGGCGACGCCGATTTCGGTAGAGGTAGCGGAGGCGTGATGCCCGGTATCTCTGGCAGTTCTCTTTCAGGCGGTATGCTGGTCGGTGTCTGCTCTCTCGCGGGCTCATGAAAAGGGAAGGAAGTCCGACTATGCGGAGCTGACGGAGGGAGCGTCATGTCTGGTATATCCGACATATCTGGCACTCGTGTTGGAGAACCTGGAGAGCGCGACTGAGACGGGTCGTCCGAATCCGCAGGCTGGTCAAACAAGCCGGCCGCTGACGGCGACAGCAGGCGGGGCGGTAGCATGATGGGCGACCGCGTCGAGCGCGGCGTGCGCTGTCCCTCGGCATACAGGTCATCGTCCTCGTCCTCGTTGCCGATGCTCGGGATCTGGCCCGGATCTACCATTACAAAACCGTCGTATTGCTGCAGACCGCGTGCGACGCCGTTGTACGACTCGTCCAGCGCGCCGTCACCCTCCGCTCCAGACATGACCTCCGAACCGGACGCGATGGACTCTGTCAACCGTCCGCTCGGGGAAAGAAGAGCGGAAGAGATAGACGGCGAATCGGGGATGACCGGCAGGTCCGCATCGGCTGGGGCAGTCGGCGTCGCGCGGTCGGACACCGTCTCAGTGTCGGACCATGCACCCGGGAGGGGGTTCGGGAGTGTGCGGCGGCGGACGGAGGACGCAGGCGGGTTGATGACCACGACCGGTGAGCGCACGGTGCGCTCGGTCGGCGTTGTCGTCCTGTCTGAAACCGTCGACCGCGTGGGGCCAGAGTAGGAACCCGAGTTGGAAAGAATGGAGCGCGGTGGGATTGCGGAGAGCGGCGATGGGCCGGGGGTGGGGCGAGAGATGTTGGGGGGGAGACGCTGCGAAGCGCCGGGTGGGTACTCGTAGAACCGTACGCGGCTGCGTTCGGAGGGCGGAGACTTGAGCAGCATAGAGGGCACGTCGGAGGAGACGGAGGATAGGGCACGTTGATGCGAACGCGATCGGGAGCGGGACGGGATGTGGGAGGTCGAGGACGGCGAGATGCGGCGGAGGAGACGACGGCAGGTAGAGCGAAGACCTGTGTTGTACCAGATAAACACGCCGAGATCAGAGAAGACGACGCCTATGCATGTCCAGAGCATTACAACCGCGAGCCTGCATGCACAGTGAGCGCGAGTCATGATTGTTTCAGACGGACTGGACGGACCGCATGACAGACTCAGTAACGACGAAGTCCACCCAAAGCCGAAAAAAGAGAGCAATATATGCGTCAGAGCTTCGCGGATACTTCGTGATGAAATGGTGGAGAGTAGCGCCTTCCCAAAGACCTGCAGAATGATCAGCAACATGGATAACGTAGCATGTCTGCGGTGGCAGCTTACCGACGAGTGTGCCCATGAGCTTTACATTGCGGAGACCAACAGCGTCAACAACATAACGCAGTCCTAAACCGAGTGCTATGGCCGAGATATGGTCCATCGTTGTATGCGCATAGCCTGACGGCGTCGGGGCAAGAGGATGAAAGAGCAAGAGGTCGCAGTGAATTCCCACGCCGTGCGAATTGCCATTGACGTTGGGTCGGTCGGCGTACGTGATGGAAGCTCTACTAAACGTACTTTAGGCGACTTTATGGACGAGTAATAGCGAACCATTGAAGGTATTGAAATCATAGCTTAGGCCCCCGGCGCAATCTCTTTCATGATGCATCTGCCTTCTGAGTGATATATCATAATACCACGCCTGCATTCCAGTAAATCGTACAGTAAGTACATAAAGTCATCTGCGCCGGAGAGGAGTCTATGGATCGCCACAGAGAGCCACGTTACACTCGTAGTGGCGGGATCACATCAGCTTGTTCTCTCGCTTCGCTTGTTGCACCTGCGCGAGCCGGTGGCTCCTGAGTGTCATATGCGTGCCCTGGCCGGCCTTTTTCGCGGGCCCACTGGCGGCGTTTGCGACGGTCGCCTGCGCGAGCGACACCCGTGTGTCGTCGGACGCGAAACCAGGTATGCGGATGTTGTGGTTCCGCTCTGCGGGCCGAACGATCAGCTTTGCGATGGGTTTCCGCCCGAGGGTTTCCGCGCGACGTACCGAGGTGAAGTTGGAGATCCCGCACTTCGAGCGTATCGCCACCGCGATGCTTCGCCAACCTGCAGCCGAAGTTGGTGACCGAGTCGATGAATTCATCGGCGATGTCGAGCAGCAGCTGCATACAATCACACGTCAGCGGTTCGGGGGATGATGAGAGCGACCGTTCACGGTTCGTACGCACGTCTTCGACATCCGGCTCGATCCTGACGTTCGGGTCTATGCTCGACACCAAGTCCTGTATTGACCGCCGCATGCTCTGATCACCTGGCGTGTTCTTCCGCCTCGCCCGATTGTCGTCGAAGTTGAACATCGACACATCTTCGCCCCCTCGTGCTACTTGCGCGGGAGTACCTGCGATATATGCGTGATGTTGAGAAAACCTGGCCTCAACCACCGTCTAAGACGGCGTAAGACGTGGACGAGTGCGCACCTGCCATCCTGCCTGCAGCCATTCCGCCCGTAAGCGTAGGTCGCCCTTGTTGCGAAGGGGTCCACGGGACGGGTCCCGGGTTAGTTATGCCTTCTAGCCTGTCCGATATGGGATAGCTCTGTGTGAGAGCGCCTTGGCTGAGGACGGGCGCGGGAGAGTTGGTGGGTTTGACGCCAGGATGTGGAAGTTGTGAGGGGTATGGAGCTGGCTGAAGGATCCATTGTTCAGTTCGTTCACGCGGGTGTATGGAAGAGATTGCGTACTTTGGTGAGGGGTGTGGCTGGTGCTGCTGTTGGTGCGGGTGCCGCTTGAGGGATTGCGGAAGTGGACGATGTAGCGGCTGTAGCTGCAGCCTGAGGCTTATATTTGTCTGCGTATTGTTTGAGCTTCAAAGAATGCGGTGGGATCGATCGCAAAAGCAGCAAGGTGGATCATACGTTAGTGTGTCCTGTTATCAACGGAGAAGAGGGCCACCACCGCACCTGCATTATTTGCTCTTGATTCAGCTTGCCTTGCTTCGCGAGCTCCCCAAGCTGGTTCATGTTCTGGAACAGCAGCTGCGCGATCTTGTCTCCAGAGAGTGGCTCGCCTGTCTGAGAACGGAACGCATTGCCCAGCGCCGTGATGATGTTGTTGGCAGAGTTGCCTGCTTGGTGAGGAGGGGGTTGCGAGCCGGGCGTAGGTTGTGAAGCCATCTTACTCTCCCAGTTTCGTCCCACGGATTTAGAGCCTACGAATAGTTCTCAGACTGTGTTTCAGTCAGCCGGAGTAAGGCAGGTATTCAGGTGTTGCGAGGAGCGTAAGAGGTGCGGTATGAGCCTGAGACGCGCGCCAAGACGAGCGTCGAGCATGAACGTCACGCGTTTGTGGGCGGCTTTGCCAGCAGCCTCGCGGTACTCAGCTCACCCTCGGTCGCAATGACCCTCATTCTGACGATATTCCTACTTGTCTTTCTGACGGAGCTAGTCTCGTGGATAGGAAAATCCGTTCTCCTCGAGCTTGTGCGTTTTTACTGGACTTACGGAACGTTACATATGAATGACACGTCTACTGCGGCCAGGTTTATGCGGTTTACCTGCGAATATTCTATGCATCAGCTATTCAGAAGCAACGGAAACTCAAGACCGAGGTCTTGTCTACCAAAGCCGAACTCATGCAGACCAGCGCCCAAGATCAGTTCGCCAAGTGGGCGAAGCTGAGGCGGAGCGTGGACAAGGGTCTTGCAGATTTAGAAAAGCTCAGTATGTCTACAGGCATCTACCTCAAAACGATCAAAAATTGCCCTAAACACACCCCTACTTACTTGCAGATGGCGAGCTGTCCTCCGCTCGCTCATCATTCTCCCTGAAATTCAACTCGGCCTTATGGTTCTTCACCACCGGCCTCCAATTTATCGTCGGATGGTGGTACCGCAAAGCCGCGGTGTTCTATCTCCCGTCTGAGTGGCTCGGGCCCCTTGCGTGGTGGGTAGCCCTACCGTTTGCCCCCAAGGGTATGTTATACTGCTTCTTTCAACCCCTTGGAAATGACCCGGACTATTCGCTCGCGCAACGGCAGGTTCTGTCAGCTGCGGGATGTGGCAGATGGCTTGCAGGCGGGTCATCAAACTCGGAGAGCGTGTTGTCAGAGATACTTTGTGTGCGTCACACCTCCGTTTCGCTCCTTCTCAGCGCAGTGCTCGGGTCCGCAAGTTACTAATGTCTTGTTCAGTGTATTCAGTTACCCCCACAGAGTCTGTTTCCGCTGCTCCGAACGAGAAGACCCAGGACAAAAAGCAGTCATAATAGCCACCATCTGTTGCTCGCTTGCTTGATTTCTCTGGCATATCTGCGTACCCGTGTACCATACACCGACCCCTCATGCGCTAGGCTTGCGCCAATTGGACAACAGCGGTTGCTCTATCACGGCTTTGATTGGGTCATTCGCGGAACATTTGGATCTCGCAATTGGGGAATGGCCACGTCCTTCTGCGTTTGCAATCCCGCTCATATCCGTCGCGCCATCTCTATTCGACGATAGATGACATGCGCCAATGCAAGGGCAACGTCGTTCCTCCTTCGCTCTTCAGGCACTCGATGCTCCTGATGCCAAGAGTACAAGTCCTAATAATGGAACATGGCCGCACATCCCCGTTTGGATGGGCGTCCCGCCCCGGAAGATGTACAACGGTGGTTGTCGACCTGATGGCTCGCTTGTCGAATGGTATCTGCTTCCCATTGGCTCACCTGCTGATGGGGCTTGTGGCCCGCGACCAATTACGTTCGTGAGGTCAAAATGACCTCTAGTCTTGATCCGGCCCCCTACATAGCTTTCGAACTATTTCATTGTCGTGGAATACGCTTGCATAGACGTCTCGACATATGCCGGACTCAATGCGGACCACATATACGATTCGCATAATGGGCAGCGGAAGCCGTGGCATATATATGAGCAGGCTCAAGCCCTCCTATGTCGAAGGTGAGATGGGCAGGATTCAAATGTTGATACTTCAGATGTCACTTGGCAAGTGGCAACTGTGGCGCCTAAGTCCGATGCTATCGGCTAAACCCCGTGTGAATCGTTGTGAACGCAAGGGAACGCGGTCCTCGAATCCGTGCACTTGTCAGCAACGTGACAAGCCCCGCTTCGGGTTGGACGGCGTTTGCTGACCAGTACGTTACCTTGCTTTTGACCATACTCGTCGTCTCAGAGCACACATGTCCTCACGCACGACGTCGATAATGATGTTGCCTCGTAATATCGTTCTTCCACTACGCCGCGGACCATGCCCGATTCGAGTGATACTGGGCGGTTAGCGAGCGTTTTACCTCCGCATAGACCTCCATCCACCACGGCAATGCGGAACAGCATACCACCGACATAGAAGCGCGCTCTTCTTCGTAAGTGTTCTTCAAGCTCTGTTTTGATGGACCCATCACCCGCCGCTTCTATAAAGGTCGACAAGGTTGCGCTCTCGAAAGGCCAGGACGTTCGGTTCTACCGGTCGTCTCGTCAAGCTCGGCACTCAAGATGTTCGCGCCTCTCTGTCGCTTCCTGTTCGCCGCTTTCGTCGCCGGCGCCGCTCTCGCCGTTCCGCACAGCGGTTACGGCGGCAAGCACGGCTCGTGCACTACCCCAACGATCCGCAAGGAGTGGCGTACGCTTAGCGCTCACGAGCAGGCCGCGTTCCTATCTGCGGTGAACTGCCTGGCGACGGTCCCACACAACACGTCCATCGCCCCGGATGGCAGCGAGCCCGACGTGCCGCCCGTCAACGCGACGAGCAATCGGTACGATGACTTTGTCTTCACGCATATGGATGGTGTGATCCGGAACCACTTCACTGGAGGTAAGCTTGTTGCACTCGCCCCTCTCTATTGCAATATGGGACTCAATACAGACGTTGCTAGTCTTCCTGAGCTGGCATCGCTGGTTCTTGCACACCTTCGAGTCGGAGCTCAAGTCGCACTGCAACTTCCAAGGCACCCTGCCGTACTGGGATTGGTCTTTGGGTGCGGCATTCTCCCTCCTTCATCCGCGACCGCCCGTTGATCTTGACCATCACAGACGTGGCAAACATCACCGCCGCTCCTCTGTTCAAGTCCGACCCACACACCGGCTTTGGCACCTTCAACCCCGACCCCTCCGTTAACTTCAGCGTCACGGACGGCGCGTTCGGTCACACCATCCGCGCGTACCCCACCCCGCACCTCGTCGGACGCGACTTCCGCCCCCAGCCCTTCGAGACGGAACTCCTGCCCTTCCCTTTCACCGAGCCCGACAAGCTCGCGACGGCCGCGTTCACGCCCTCTGAGATCGAATTCATCACGACGCACTTCACCGGGAACTACACCGACTTCCAGGCGTACATGGACGGCGTCACGTCGGAGAACGGACGGGCGGAGGGCATGCACAACGCCGCGCATCTGATGATGGACGGGTGAGTTCTCTCTCTCCCGTCACAATCGACTTTCGTCGCTGACGGACGCCGTGATACGCAGCGACATGAGCAACCTCGCGCACTCGCCGAACGACCCGGTCTTCTTCCTCCACCACGCGAACCTCGACCGCATCTGGCGCACGTGGCAGCTCAACGACCCGGCCAACAAGTTCGCCATCGGCGGCGGGCTCACCCAGAACCTGACCAACTACGACGACTGGCCGGCCGGCGCCCCGCCGTTCGTGACCGCGAACGTGCAGCTCAAGTTCAGCGGGTTGACGGAGGAGCCGCTGCTGGGCCAGGTGTTGGACACGGAGGGCGGTCTGCTGTGTTACGACTACGTGAACCTATAAGGGCTAGCTGTTCGCTGTCCGTAGGGCTTGATATGTGCCGATGTGCTGTTATCAGATAAGGTGGATGCTGCATTTCGGTAGCGAGCTAAAGATAGACACAGGGAGATGCGGAAAACGGTTCAACACGTATCCGCGATGCTGTCCCTGTATCGCCGGATGCATGGGCTTGACCCAGGCCAACTGACATACAACAAACATGTGCAGATGGTGAGATTATATGCTTCAGAATACACAAGCGCGAGAACTTAGGATTTGCCAAGGTAGGGATGGCATGGTCATACGGTCTAAGCACCCAAGTACTTCGTTGCCACAAGGCCGCATTCCTGGCCGCAGAAGGTAACAGGTAGGGTCCCGAGGTGCGGCGGTAGCGAACTTGAGCCTGCACTTAACATGGCGTTGACCCATGATTATACCCGAACCCGAACCTGACCGGTTGAATGTGATAGTCCTGAGAACGTTCTCCTTGCTGACTCGTCCTCAGACAAGCGATCTTCCATATAGGCATTTTGAATGTCGATGGGAGAATGCTTCTGTAGGGGAACCAAAACCTAGACTGCTCTGACGAGTCTCAGGCCGACCTATTGACTGTATGGATCGAGTACTTATGATCTCCCGAACCACCCGCCCGCTCGGCCCGTCGGGGTGTAATATCCGCCACCGCACTCCGGAGATAGATGTACCTGAGTAAATGAGCGTCGGGGCTCCGCCTTCGAACGGAGAGCGACATTAGAGCGGAAGGGGAAGAGGAGTGCGCTCGCGGGGTGCGCGTCGGACCTCCGCCATGTGATTCCGCCCACGCTCCCTCTTCCAGTTTACCATGACGTTCCGAGACTTTTCACGGGCGTACGGAGCCCCGCAGATAACATACTTATAACGCCGCTGCCTGTCCCATGGAAAGGTTCTCCAACTAACTTGATATCGACCTCGACCACCATGACCGCTGTGCCAGGCGTCCAGATCCACTCCACCGCCGCGCAGGATGCGCAGGAGCAAATCCTTACCACCGATGCGCTCAAGTTTCTCGCGGCGCTGCATCGCACGTTCGAGTCTACGCGCCAGTCCCTCCTGCATGCGCGAGAAGACGCCCAGCGCTTGCTGGACTCCGGCAAGCCCCTCGACTTCCTTCCCGAGACGGAGCACATCCGACGCGAACCCAGTTGGCATTGCGCCCCGCCCGCGCCGGGGTTGGAGGACAGACGGGTGGAGATCACTGGCCCCACGGACAGGAAGATGGTGATCAATGCCCTGAACAGCGGCGCGAAGACGTTCATGGCCGACTTTGAGGGTGAGTCCTGGCAAGGTCGCATCTGAATTGCGCGAGGCTGATTCTCTCATGCGACAGATGCGAACTGCCCGACGTTTGCAAACATGCTATACGGTCAGATCAACCTGCGGGACGCGATTCGGCGAAAGATCGACTTCGAAATCGGCGGAAAGTCGTACAAGTTGGTAGAAAAGCCGGCTGTTTTGATCGTCAGGTGCGTTTCCCGGACTTTCTCCAGGTTTGTCACCTCGTACTGATCCCCTGAGGCAGACCCCGTGGATGGCACCTGGACGAACCTCGCGTTACCGTCGACAACCAGCCGGTCTCCGGCAGCATCTTCGACTTCGCGCTGTACTTCTTCCACAACGCAAAAGAGCTCATCGCGCGAGGTTCCGGACCCTACTTCTACCTTCCCAAGATGGAAAGCTACCTAGAGGCCCGCCTCTGGAACGACATCTTCAACTTCAGCCAGAGCTTCATCGGCATCCCGCACGGCACCATCCGCGGCACCGTCCTCATCGAAACACTCCCCGCGGCCTTCCAGATGGAGGAGATCCTGTTCGAGCTAAGGACACATTCGAGCGGCCTGAACTGCGGACGGTCCGTTCACTTCATTCTACCCCTCACTCTCAGCTGACAAAGCGTGTATAGATGGGATTACATCTTCAGCTTCATCAAGAAGCGAAGGGCGGATCGGCGGGCTGTGCTGCCCGACAGGAAGGACGTCACCATGGAGGTCGGCTTTATGGATGCCTATGTCCGCCTGCTGATCCAGACATGTCATCGGTTCGTTTCCCTCTTGATAAATATGATACCAGTTTCTTAACTTTTCACCCCAGACGGAAGGTTGCGGCAATGGGCGGAATGTCTGCCCAAATTCCCATTAAGGGCGACGATAAGGCGAATGAGGTGGCAATGAACAAGGTTCGTGCGGACAAGTTGCGCGAAGTGAAGGCTGGTCACGATGGCACCTGGATCGCGCACCCGCTGATTAACAAGATCGCGCTGGAGGTATTCGACCAACACATGCTTGGCCCGAACCAGGTGAGCGCGACCGCACTACACATAGGTGCTTTTCGCCGGGCGCTGACGAAACTCTTGAACGCGCCGTACAGTACCACGTCCGTCGGGAGGAGGTCCGCGTCGCCGCGGCCGACCTGCTCGACACCAACGTGCCCGGGCAGATCACCACCGAAGGCGTGCGCTCGAACGTCTCGGCCTCGCTTGCGTACTGCGGCGCCTGGCTCGGCGGCAACGGGTGCATTCCCCTCAACTGGCTCATGGAGGATGCCGCGACGGCGGAGATCACGCGCGTGCAGCTCTGGCAGTGGGTGCGCTACAGCTCGCGCCTCTCGGACACGGGTGAGACCATCACTGCCGCGTACATCGACAAGGTGGTGGACGAGGTCGTGCCGGAGGTCAAGAAGATCGTGCCGTCGATCAAGGACGACCACCTGAAGATCACCGCGGAATATTTGAAGGCGCAGGTGCGGAAGGAGTGGCCGAGCGAGTTTTTGACGAGCGATTTCATGCCGTATCTCGCGGCCAGCGACGGGGTGGACGCGAAGTGGCACAAGAGCGCGCTATAATTTGCTGGCCTGCGTCGCTCCGATTGGGACGGGTGCATGCTGAGAGTGTATTGTATACTTTGATTGTCTTGTCGGAGGCTTATGTATTTTTCTTCCCGTACCGAGTGTCAACAGGACGTGGCCGCTTCGGCGTTATCAGGTCGTGTGAAAGTCCGAACGAAAGTATCCACCCCAGTCATGACCCACTGGCGCTTAGTACATTCTCCCTCGCGCAGAACGAACGTCAAGGCGTGATGCACACCGACCTCCCCCTGTTTTCCGAGACAAGAGACTCAAGTGGCCGACGACTATGGCATCAGCAACCGATTATAAGCAACGGATTGCAAAGTATGTAAGCAGGCACGCTGACTGGCTCTAGAATGCCGTGGCACTAACAGTGCCACCCTATCTATCAGTTGATGCGCGGTCAACGCGTCCACGCGGCTTGATCCCGACGGACCGTTTCATTCAGCGACGATGTGCTTATGGGTTTGTGGAGCCTAACACGTTATTGGATATGGACCTGTGTTGGACCGGTGTGCAGTTATCCGATGCATCAAGTAAGTACGGATCTGAGGGCAACCCACTCTATTATATAACCCACACGCTGTCCGGGCTTGTAATTTCTCCTCTCACCGTTTCGTACCCGTACCTAAGCTGAGAGCTCTGCCGCTGCCATGTCTCTCCTCAAAGATGTGCTGCGGAAGAACAGCGAGACGAGCGGGTTCCAGCCGCCGAAGGCGCTCACTTCAAAGCGCGGGATGAAGGAGTATGCTGGTTCGATTCTATCAACGGGAGGCTCGACGATCCGCTCCGTGCGATCCATCGCCGAATCCGTCGCCAGTTTCTACAGCATGATGACGGGCGGCTCACGCATCCCCAAGCGGAGAAGGCCTGAGGTGTCGAGGCTGGGTGTGACGAAATTCTATCGTAAGAACCCCAAACCTCCGTTGGACATGCCGGGCGTCAAGTATCTGGACTCTGCCGAACTGGGTCCTTGGACGGCCGCGCATGGAAAGGCCTTCGCTTCATACGACAACGAGCCCGCTTGGGGGTCCATAATCTTGTATAGCCACGCGTCGATTCAAGATCCGCGACCGTGCTATCATTCGCGAGGTATATTCGCGTTCATGAACGTTACACCCACTCGTCTGCTGACGAAAGACAACTTTTCCAGCAAAGATCGAAGGTGAGCTGCGCATACGGATCGACAACCCTATGCGCATCTCTGCCATCGATGTATGGCTCATCGGCAAGAGCGAGTGTATCCTGGATCTTAACCAAGCGCCTTTCATCAATGCACGAGCCCATCTTTGGAAACCTGAGGATGGTGATCCGAGTCATCCTAAGGTGCAAGCTCGTTTGCCGCCATTCAAGGGCAAATTCCGTCCGGGAACGTACGTTCTCGTAAGTGCTGTCTCGCCTGGACGACCCGGAGTCTTATACCCCCGCTCTCTATCAGCCGTTCGAGTTCCCAGCCTTGCCCCGTGACGTGGAAGAGATGCAGATGGATCATCGGATCCAAATGCCAGTGAGATAGCCTCCATCACTGCGAGGCGAGCCTTGATACTCATGTCCGCAGAAAGCTACGCGCCTCTTCTTACCTGCTTCTCACGAGTTCTCGGAAACTTTGGGCTGGGTCGGATGGAATAAGTGCGGATGATGCTGTTGTGGCTGCGCTCTACTAATCCTGTGCAGATATCTCATCGGCGTGAACATACACAAGGAGGGACTCGGGGCTATCAAAGACGAGTATGTACGGCATCTTCGACTTTAGGCGCAGCGCTGATGATTACTGCGAATCAGGTGGAACGTCCAATTCGACTACTATCCAAGAGCACGACCTATTCCTCGACCGGACACGCCGTTTCCTTTCCTGCCAACCAGGGACGATTGGCCATTCTCTCGCGAAGAGGTACGCCGATACTTTCTGGCTTGTTACGGCTTGTGAATGAATTGTAATCGTTGCAGGTTGGAGGATGGACTTTGACACCGTTCGGTGGGCGAGGCCGCTTTCGCGACGAAATGATTGAGCTCGAAGGCATTGTGAGCGCAGGATGCCATTTGGAAAACCTGATCTCATCGTGCTTTAGCTCGGTGTGCAAGCCCCTGCCGTCTACAGCCCGGGAATGACCGTCAAGTTCTCTCTTCTCTTATGGTGCACAAATCCGGATGCCTTGGACGCCCTTTCCCAACCCGAGTCTTTTCAGGTGGACTTCCTTCGAGGTGACCTATGGGGCCTCGACGTCCTGGACCCCCACAACTCGGCACGGAAGAACCGGCACCTCACCCGCCTGAAGGAAGGGCGCGTATGGCGCACGGACGACGGCCCTCCTTCCCCTGGTTCAACCCCTGTGAAGCGCACAACGCTCGATGGCGTGCAAAAGGGGCACAGGAAGAGCGACTACGCGTCATCGGGCAAGGCCGCGAGTCTAAGCGTTCTGAAGAGGTCCGGTTTGGCGCCCACGAGAATGATGGAGCTGTACAACCAGGCGACCGCAGATGAAGACCAAACTCCTCAGGCGGAGAAGCCTTGGTTGTATGACCCGTTGAATCCCAGCAGCGCGGCCGCTTCCACGACTTCGGTCACAGGACTTCTCGCGAAACGAGACGATAGCGCGGCGAGCGTGGCCACTGCGTCAATAGCATCTCAATCCATGGATTCCTTGGTGGCGGGGCTGCCTGCACTGACTCTCAACGCGGAAGCTACCACAGGAGCCGTTGCTATATCGGGTGTTCCTCCCATGGTGCACAGCGAAACATCTCAGGATACGCAAGTGGGCCAAGTGGCGAAGAGCGAAACTGGCAAAGAGGGAGTGGAGCAGAACGAGTCAGGTTTAGAAGAGGATAAAGCAGCTCAAGACGATTCGGACCGTGCACCATCCCCTACACCATCGATGGAAGAAGCTACCATGGATGGAGAGGACGAACCGGATCAGACTATCCGATTGGATGGCGACGTTATCGTGCCTCCATGTATGCCTCCAAGCTACCGTTGGAAGTACCAGGGCATGGAGGTCAGTCTTAACTCACGCTATAGTGTGCTCGCAGTCGCGCATATTGATCGCGGCGTTTATTCCAGTACTCCCTCCATCTCATCATCACCCATCCAGAATACTCTCATATATCCCCTCGGGCTACCGGCATCGTCGCAGAAACGCCCTTATGGATCGTGACGGATCCGCCACGTACCGCTGAGAATAGCGATACTGATTCCTCGCCAGATCCCTCTTCATCGTCGACTCTCTCTGCTCCGGGTCGCGTTGACTTGAACAAGGTGCTAAAGACCGGTCAGGCGATCCCGCTCCCACCAGACACAATTCGCCTGCCAAAGGCAACTGGTGAGGGTACTGACGACGTCAGGCCGACCTGGCTCGGTGTACGCACCTGGGCTTTCATGTAAGCTTTGATATGGACTATACTCAGTGACGCCGGAAATGCGCGCAGTTGCTTGCATACGCAATTCGTTTTGCCTTCACACGCGTTTCACCAAGACATACACATAGCCGGCCATTGATTCATGTAACTCTGATTATCTAACACATGTGCTTTGCGCTTGCGACGAGATGGCACATCCATCCTTGATTAGGTCGAGAAGGTGACATCAACCGCATAGCCGTAGTCGCCCACGACCAATCCTTTGACGGAAGCCTGTATTTAGGATAAGGACCTGAGGCGACTGCGGCAATGAAACCATACTCGCCTGGAAGGTGTAAGACTTTCCGCCGACCGTCATCGGCCTCGAAGACGCGGTGGTCTTGTACGTGGTCGACGGTGTAGCGCTCATCTGCGTCAGCAGCTCCTCGTCGATCGGCGTCTTCGTGTTCACGAACCCAACGGTCGTGTATCCGCCGGTGGCCGTCTTGATACCGGCAAAGTACACCACCAGGTTGTAGGAGTCGGTGGTGGCGTCGACGCCAGGGACCGTGTACGCGATCAGACCCTCGACGTTGATGTCCGAAGGGTCACGGGAGAAGAACCCGGCGGGAGCAGCGGTGATGCTGCCCGCCACCTGAGGGCTGAGGCTGGAGTTGCCGCTCTTCTGGTAAACGCTCTTGGG